CTATTCATGCCCGTGCCACCTTTTGGGTGGCTTAATCTTTATCAATCAATCAATCGTAGTTATCCAACGGGAGATATCTCCCGTCACGCAGGGTGCAGTCGCACCTCCACAGATCTCCAGTATCAGCTCTTGATACTGGTAATGGCTCAAAAGGGCCACCACTTACGGGCTATTCATGACCGTGCCACTTTTTGGCTGGCTTAATCTTCATCAATCAATCAATCGTAGTTATCCGGACGGGAGACATCTCCCGTCACGCAGGGTGCAGTCGCACCTCCACACATCTCCAGTATCATCTATTGATACTTGTAATGGCTCAAAAGGGCCACCACGTACGAGCTATTCATGCCCGTGCCACCTTTTGGTTGGCTTAATCTTCATCAATCAATCCATTTGCTCCACAATCAATCCATTTATGCCCGAAACGCTTTGCGTAATAGTGGCTTTAGGCATTGTATGTACTAGCTCTACCTATAAGTCAACCAATCTTTGTAAAAATTTCTTGTATGTTTATTTATTTATTTATTTATTTATGCATATACAAGAGTGTACATAAGGAATGTGAGGATACAAATATGGTAATTACAGTCTTGTAAAGCCACTAGCACGCGCAGCGTTTCGGGCAGGTCCTTAATCTAAGAAAATTTTAAGGAGGTAAATACTTGCAAAATTTATAGACAAAAAAATGATAACAGATTACATGGAATGAAAAAAAAAAGATGAGAGAAAATTATAGGTACAGTATATTAAAGCACATAGGTAGCTATGATTGATTGCAATGACAGCTTAAAATGGTAGTTGACAAAAATTGGTAGTCACAATACAGCATATGGCTAGCACATAAAAGAAGACAGCAATGAACACAATGATAAGGTTGTTTGATATTACATAAAAATTAGGAGATTGGGTAACACTAGGTACAGAGCAAATTTAAAGCTCAGTGTAGGAAACTAAATAGATGAAATTAGGTACTTTTTGGTTTTGCTTTTAAATAAGGCAAAAGTTTTACAGTTTTTCAATTCACTAGGGAGTGAGTTCCATAGACTAGGTCCCTTAATTTGCATAGAGTGTTTACACAGATTAAGTTTGACCCTGGGGATATCAAAGAGATATTTATTTCTGGTGTGGTGATAATGGGTCCTATTACATCTGTCCAGGGAGAGTTTCAGAGCATGGTTTGCATTTAAGAACAGGGTTTTGTAAATGTAGTTGACACAAGAGAATGTGTGGAGGGAGTTAATATTTAGCAAGTTTAGGGATTTAAACAAGGGAGCTGAGTGTTGTCTGAAAGCAGAGTTAGTTATTATTCTGATAGCAGATTTTTGCTGTGTGATGATGGGCTTAAGGTGGTTTGCAGTGGTAGACCCCCATGCACAGATACCATAATTAAGATAGGGGTAGATTAGTGCATAATATAGTGAGAGGAGAGCAGAGTTAGGAACATAATATCTGATTTTGGAGAGTATACCAACTGTCTTAGAGACTTTCTTAGTTATGTGTTGAATGTGGGTGCTGAAGTTGAGTCCCTTGTCTAGGAATAGGCCAAGAAACTTGCCATCATTTTTATTACTGATGTTAATGTTGTCTATCTGTAGCTGAATTGCATTTGATGATTTGCTTCCAAATAAGATGTAGTAAGTCTTTTCGATGTTTAATGTTAGTTTGTTCGTTGACATCCATAAGTGGACTTTTTTTAATTCATTATTCACAACATTATTTAGTGTATGTGGGTTGAGGTTTGAGTAGATAAGAGTAGTATCGTCAGCAAACAATATAGGTTTGAGAATATTAGAGACATTAGGCAGATCGTTTATATATATAAGAAATAGAAGAGGTCCTAAGATGCTGCCCTGTGGCACTCCAACGGTAATTGGTAGAGTGGAAGAAGTTGCATCATTGATGGTTACATATTGGTGTCTGTCACTAAGATAGGATCGGATGTAGTCAAGGGCAAGGCCTCGGATTCCATAATGCTGGAGTTTAAGTAAGAGGTAGTTGTGATTAACAGTATCAAAGGCTTTTCTTAGGTCAATGAAGAGTCCAATCGGAAACTCATTTTTGTCAAGGGCTGAGTAGATAATGTCAAGGAGACTAATGATTGCATCATTGGTGCTCTTTTGGGACCGGAAGCCAAACTGGCAGGGGCTGAGTATGTCGAATTTTACGAGGTAGGAATAGAGCTGTTTGTAAATAATTTTTTCAAATATTTTTGATAGAATGGGTAGATTTGATATTGGTCTATAATTGTTTATGTCCGCCGGATTGCCTCCTTTATGGACTGGCGTTACTCTTGCTTTTTTGAGGATATCAGGGAAGGTGTGATACTCTATAGATTTGTTGAACAGTAGTGCTATGGGTGGGGCAAGGGCATGGGAGGCTCTCTTGTACACAATGGACGGAATTTCACTGGTGTTCCCTGCCTTGGTTTTTAGAGAATGTATGATGGACACAACATCTGCCGGGCTGATTGGTGAAAGGAGAAGAGAGTTTGGATAGCTGCCTGAGAGATATGTGTTAATATGTGTCTGAGTCTGTGGGATTTTACTGGCAAGATTAGCACCAACCGATGAAAAGAAACTATTAAATTCATTTGCCATTTCTAAATCAGTTGACGGTATATCCCCATCCTTGTAGAGTTTTATTTGGTTATGTGAGTGTTGTTTAGTTCCTAGGATACTAGAGATAGTTTTCCAAGTGCTTTTCATGTTGCCTTTTGCTTCATTGAATCTATTCACATAATATGCAAGTTTTGCCTTTCTTATGATACTGGTAAGCATTGATGAGTACCTTTTAGCTACTTCCTTTGAAACTAGGCCAATCCTAACTTTCTTTTCATATTCATGTTTCTTGTTGATTGAGTTGAGAATGCCACTTGTGAGCCATGGATTGTTTAATCTTTTGTCAGTTACTTGCTTGGTAAGAAGGGGACAATGAAGGTTGTAGAGGCTTAGAGTTTTGGAGATGAAGAGGTTAGCTAATGAATTTATATCATGGGTATTATTGAATTCAGAATCCCAGTTAATATTGTAAAGTGCCTCTGTAAGATTGTCTAAAGCTGATTCACTGTGTAGCCTAAATGAAAGTTTCTTGCTTTTTGGTGGTGTTATGTCCATGTTCGCTATGAGAAAGGTAGGATAGTGGTCAGTTGTTCTGTCGTAGATTATACCAGATACAAGGGGAGCTGTTATGTTTGTCCATATGTGGTCCAAGGTAGTGGCTGATGTTTGAGTGACTCGGGTAGGTTTGGTGATTGTGGGGATTAGCATACAGGAGTTCATGCTGTTAAGGAAATAGTCAACTTGAGAGCAATTTTGTTGACCCAGGTCAATATTAAAGTCTCCTCCCAGAATGATATGGTTTTTGTTGAGATTGTTGTTTATAATAAGATTCCTTAGGTTGTCTGAGAAAGAAGCTATGTTAGTATTGGGAAATCTATAGATGGCTCCAATAGTCAAAGAGGATTTAAGGGATTTAATTGTAAACTGAGTAAAAGTATATTCACAGTAGTCATCTCTGTCACTAATAACACTGTTGCAGATAAATGTATCTCGGTAATATATAGCTGTGCCACCACCTTTTTTATTAGGCCTACAGTTATGAATGGCTTTATAACCAGCTAAGTTGTAGAGTTGGGTATAGTCTTTATTTAGCCAAGTTTCTGTTAAAATAATGAACGATAGGTTAGTACCTATTGCTGTGAGTAATGCATTTAAATCGTCAAAATGTTTACCAAGTGATCTAACATTTTGGTTATAAACTGATAGATAGGTGCTATTTTGGAGTTTGTTTTTAGCCTGGTGTGCTGTGAAATACTTGCAATAATGATGATCAATGTGCTGGTTGGTGTAGATATGAGACAGAAGATTTTGATCAGGATCAATATCAGTGTGCATAGGGATGCAGAGGGATCACGATACAAGATACACGATAAAGCAAAACACAAGAATATAAGCAAATACAATAAAATAGTAACAATTTAGAAGTAAAATAGAGATCCAATAGATAGCCAGGGAGGACACAGAAGTTACATAAAATAAAAAACAAAAAATCAGTAGACTGACAATATAAATGTAAAATAAAAAATAATAAGAAAAATAATAATCATAAAAAAAAAAAAAAAAATGTATGTACTTTACCTAAATAAACATTTATTTATTTATTACACGGGAGACATCTCCCGTCACGCAGGGTGCAGTCGCACCTCCACAGATCTCCAGTATCATCTATTGATACTGGTAATGGCTGAAGAGGGCCACCACTTACGGGCTATTCATGCCCGTGCCACCTCTTGGGTGGCTTAATCTTCATCAATCAATCAATCAATCGTAGTTATCATACATACAGTATAATATAAATGGCGATGTTTAATATTTTTTTCCAGTATGTAAACAAAATTAAATCTTTACTTGGAGTGGTTAATTTTGTTTACCGAATATACGAAACAAATTTATTGAGCATGAAGTTGAGGGAGGCGGGGAGTGGGGGACTTCAACGGCCCGCCGCCATCACTCCATATAACCTCCATGCATGCAGCTCCTCACTAAATCCTCCATTAATCCATGGCATTAATTAATCTAGGCATTAATCCTCCGTGAACTTTGACTAACTGTGTACGTGAACTTAACTAAATTGTTCAGATGCAGTTAAAGGATAGAGAATCTGTTATACTTTTATGTTAATTAACCCATATACATGTATAAGCGTATAGTTATATTAAATTAAGATTTAGAAACGGACCAAGTTTTTTTTATATTAGTACAAGACTATGTAGACGTTTGAAACAAAATTTTGTCAAAGTATGATTGGTATATAACGTAAGGTTTTGTACGGGACTAATTGAACGGCGTAAAGCTTTGGCTTCGTCTTTACATAGTTACATTAATAGTAACCGGTATTTATTCATTACCAAGGAATGTGCAGAAAATACAATTCAGAATATTATAATATGCAGTAAGTCTTTTTAATATTAAGATGATAAATAAGGAGGAGATGAAGACGAGGCCAAGGCCAGGGCTGGCGGAGGTGTGTGTGTGGTGGACGTCTCCTGCAGGACCCGGAGCTGCTCCTGCTGGCTCACACGGTACTCTCTTATGTCCTCTTAACTTACGGGCTCCTTAAGGCTCCCTCACAGTATTTCGGTACAGTACGGTACTCTTCACACTACTCTCTTATGTCCTCTTAACTTACTGGCTTCTTAAAGGCTCCCTCGCAGTATTTCGCATCGGTCTAACCCATACATTTATGATCTTAATGTTATCTTTTTTCCATATAGCAAAGCTGGCCGTGGCTGGTTAATTTGTCAAGAGGAGCTATAATTTGGGTTTCAACAACTTGTTTTCTAATTGTCAAAAGCGTATATATGGTTACTGTAGGCCGTGTTAGGCTCAGTTGGACTGGGTAGGCCTGAGCAAGGTTGGGGGGGATTTTAACATTCATTGGTGACCTGTCATCGAGCCAATGACTTGTTTCACTACGTCAAAGGTTTATATTTCATAATTATTAAATGTTTTTGTGTGAATTATACATTGTTAGGATACATTAAGGAAAATATGAGTTTCTCTTCACTTGTAATGGTATATGCTGCTGCTCTGCGGTCCTAGGCATGAATTGGGTGGTCATGAAATTGTAAATGACATTAATTTTGGTGACAGTCAAGGATGACATGTTACAATTAACTTGTCAACCGTGACAACTCCTCCAGTAATAATGGTGAGGTGCTTGTGTCTGAAATAAGGCTTGTCTATTTGGTAGTAAATCATTCATGTTTTACTACTTTATGTTTTTATGACTTAAGAAGTCATAAAAGTTTTTCATGCCCGAAACGCTTTGCGTAATTGTGGCTTTAGGCATTGTATGTACTAGCTCTATCTATAAATCCATCAATCTTTGTAAAATCTCTTGTATGTATGTACCTTACCTAAATAAACATTTATTTATTATTATTATTATTATCAAATCAGATTTAACTACACCAGTCTCCGTGGTGTAGTGGTAAGACACCTGGCATTCCGCGAGCGCTTTGTCATGGGTTCGTATCCTGGCCGGGGAGGATTTACTGGGCGCAAATCCTTAACTGTAGCCTCTGTTTAACTCAACAGTAAAATGGGTACTTGGTTGTAAAAACGATTCTTCGCGGCGGGGATCGTATTCCAGGGACCTGCCCGAAACACTACAGGTACTAGTGGCTGTACAAGAATGTAATAACTCTTGTATATATCTCAAAAAAAAAAAAAAAAAAAGAACTTCAGACAGACAATCTTAACAGCAATACAAATGAGGGGAAGTTCCTTGGCCTATACATAGACAAGAGACAACTTCATCACCCACGTTCAACACAGCCAAAAAAGTATAAAAAATGGTCGGTATACTTTCTAAAATCAGATATTATGTTCCCCACTCTGCTCTCCTCGTATTATACTACTGTACACACTAATCTATCCCTCTCTTACATATGGTATCTGTACTTGGGGTTCCACCACTGCAAATTATTTCAAGCCCATCATCACTCAGCATAAATCTGCTATCAGATCTATACCAAACTCTGTCTTCAGACAACCTACAGCCCCTCTGTTTAAGTCCCTTAACATGCTAAATATACACTCACTCCACACATTCTCATGTTCTATTTACCTGTACAAAACCTTGTTCATAAATGCTAATCTTGATTTGAAACTTTTCCTTTATAGGTGTAGAATTAAAAGCAATATCAAATTGTTTATACTTACTCAGAATGTATGTACAATACAGTACTATAAACTTATTTGAATTTATATATATATATATATATATATATATATATATATATATATATATATTATATAATATAATTTTTTTTTTTTTTTTTGAGATATATACAAGAGTTGTTACATTCTTGTACAGCCACTAGTATATGTAGCGTTTTGGGCAGGTCCCTGGAATACGACCCCCACGAAGAATTGTTGTTACAACCAAGTATCCATTTTACTGTTGAGTTAAACAGAGGCTACAGTTAAGGATTTGCGCCCAGTAAATCCTCCCTGGCCAGGATACGAACCCATGACAAAGCGCTCGCGGAACGCCAGGTGAGTGTCTTACCACTACACCACGGAGACTGACAAGGGCCATCATCTCAAGGGCCATTACATCACCATCACCATCACCAAAGTAACATCTTTGGCTATACTGAGGGTAAGTAAGTTTATAAAAATGCAGGGTGTGGAAATATTAGTGTGAGATTTATAACAAAAATACAGTATTTCAGGTCTGTGCAGCATGAGTCTCAGCCATGAAGACAAAGGGCCTTATGAGGAGTTTGAGAACGATGGCAACAGTTCAAGAAGAGAGAGAACTTCTCACAGGGAATCCTCCAGTACCTCATCTGGATCCGCATTCTCGTCTCTGGATCCAGGAGCGCACATTGAGATGTCGGCAGCTGTTTCGGGAGTTGTTCCAGATGGTGTGTTAGAATAAGAGCCCTAAATTTATAATTATTTTAATATTTGCATAATAGTTTGATTATGAGAATACAAATTGAATGTACAGTACATAATATGTAGTGCGTTGTATATACATACTGATGGCCGTGAGAGACTGGGACTATCATGCTGTAGAAAAACAAATGTGTGTATATTTAGGACAGTTAATTTTATAATATCACCACAAAAGTTTAAACATACAGGTACTTGGGTCATTGCTAGACTCATTTCACCATTTTCCATTTTTTTTTAATACATAGCTGATAATTAGGCATTGCAATAGAAGAAAATAATGTTTTAATTTTACTTTTTTTCTTCCAAGTTGGGATTACTTAAGTTACAATCTTAGTAATCAACACCATGAAAATAGGAAATGGGTTAATAGTAATGTATGTACAGTAATGTATTTTCTTTATTCCTGCTTTTCAAACATAAAAGTAGAAATTGACTGGATAGTAACTAGTACATAATATTAAATTTGCTCAATAATTGTGTTGTAAAAATTATGCAAATTTTGTATAGATAATTAAAATTTCTTTTTGCAGATACATTTACTGTTGACCAGGCAGTTAATGCCCTTGGATTTGGGAAATTTCAGGTAAATTTAATTGAACACCATTTATGAGTGTGGTATAAGCACTATAGGCTAACAGGAGTTCTTGTGTGAGATATTACAAAAGTATAATGATATTCACATTTTCCTAAAAAAAAACCAACTTAAGTATATCATAGTAATAACCAACAATCGTTCATTATCTACATGAAGTCTGTATCATTAAAGTATTGTACAAGAAATTTAATGTTTAATGATCTTTAGATTTAAGCACTTATTTAAGCACTTAGCTCATTTCATTCATTTATTTATTATGCACCCCATACTCATTCCATGGGCAGTGGTAGAAAGGGTTATTAATTTAATGAACAGCTTTAATCAGGCCGAAACGTTAACTTCCATGTTGTACCTAGTAGTCAGAAAGCAGTACTCGGCCTACTATGCCAGACAATATAGAATTGTCTGGCATAGTCATTATTGACATAAATAATGAACTAAAATTTGTTATGGTGTACCAGCTCTAAAACTCATTATGTTAGGGCATCATCACAACTCTCACCAAAATTCAGTCTTGAGGTTCAAGGGAGCCATCACCCAAACCGTCCATTGTCTGAACAATATCCTCGCTTGTAGCTACCTTAAATGTTTATCATATTCCCATTTGCTGTGTTTCTATTACTCAGTGTTTGCAGAATCCGCTCTTTTTCTTATTCCTCTTTCTACTTTACTCTTCGCACCAAGCACTTCCTCGTATTTTTCTGCGAGTTTGTGGTACATACATCACTCAATTTGTTTTTAATTAGAATATTAATTTGTGCAACATCACAGCTTTTGCCTTACTAAAATTTTAATTTAAAGGTCTGTATTTTTGGCAGGTAAAGCTATCACTTATCACTGGATTGTGTTGGATGGCTGATTCAATGGAGATGATGATCTTGGCCATCTTGGGTCCAGCACTTCACTGTGACTGGCACCTTTCAGAGTGGAAACAAGCCTTTCTCACCACTGCTGTTTTTATTGGTTAGCATTTGTATTTATATTTGTTGAAGAAGTATGATGCATTACTCTACAGGCATCCATACCGCTGATAACTAGAATCTTTTGGTTGAATAACATGCCAATTTTTCCTGCCTGTAGTTTTGGTTTTCAGGATCAGACTTCCTTATCCATTGATGTAATAATTAATAATAATAATAATTTCTGAAAATATTACATCTGGATACGATTTTATTGTTTACAGTATTTGTGCATAATTTTTCCCATAAAGCCACTAATCAAGTGCAGCATTAATAATAATTTAAAAATGGATTGCTTTGTGGGACAGGAAGCCAGAGTGTATTCATATATGTTAAGCTTTTATTGAGGGGACCCTTCCTCCCCCCTCCCCCCCCAAATGTCGAATTACTGACCCCTCCCAGAATGCAACCCTACAACAAGCTGACCAACACCTGCGTACCTACTTACTGCTAGGTGAAAGGAAATGTGCTCAACTATTTCTGTCCCACCTGGGATTCGAACCCGGAATTCCACTTGTTCGGCTTTTCGTCGCAATTTTCACCAGAATTGGGGTTTGTTTTGGGATGCTTACCTTTATGGGTGCCTGACCCGGTCGATGGCAGACATAGAATGCTTCCAACCACACGGGGGTTTCTATAGGCCATTGCTCCTCGTGCCTCTTCTGAGGGGGGCCAGGTTCTGGCTCGTGGTAACCGGTAGGCCCACAGAACTCCATACATATGACTGATGCCAAAGTCTGACATCAGCATATCAGCCTGGATAGCTCCAGGGAGCCTCCGGGTCTCACCCAGAAAATGGCGTTTCATTACGTTCCACACTTTTTTTTTTTATTCGTCTAAAATAAATTTATGAAAATATTTTGATAAAAGTTTCACGACGCTGAAGTCAATGAGTTTTAGATTTGTTTAACATTTCTTGGTAATTTTTACATAATTTAAATATTTTTTGCTTCCTTGCTCCCTTATGCTGAGCAGTTTAAGGGTTAAGAATGTTGTATAGTATTATTTAGAACTAAATTAATAAATTGTACTGTACTAAATTTGCCAGTAAATTTGTGTAACAGTATTCTTATTTAAGGAGTGCCAGAGTTGATTTATCCACTTGGCTCTTTTTGTAGGAATGATGTTGAGTTCGGCCTTCTGGGGTAATCTATCTGACAAATATGGAAGAAAAAAGTCTTTAAGGCTAGCAGCTGTGATGTTAGCTTACTGGGGATTGCTCTCTGCATTTGCCCCTACATACAACTGGATAGTGTTGTTGAGGGGCCTTGTTGGGTTTGCTATTGGCTGCGTCCCTCAGTCGTAAGTAAAAAAGTTGAACATCCACAACTGCACGAGTGTGTTTCACTGCTTTGCTTGCCCCCATTACTCATAAATTATAGATTGTTAACCCTCGGTTACTATATCAGAAATGTATTTTTTATATTGCTGTAAAAGTAGCAATCTTTCTGTGTACTGTCTTATCTTCTGTGAACACTGTATTGTTTTCATTTACTCTATTTTCTTATAGTCCAGAATACAAATTTGTTTGCAGTGTAACCCTGTATGCAGAATTCTTGCCTGCTCACCAGCGTGGGAAGTGTGTTGTGTTGCTTGATGTAAGTGCTTATATACATCTATTCTTGTAGTTATGTACACTACTCTTATCATATTCTACTTGAAATTTTATGATTTTTATTGTTTTACACATTTATAAAGTAGGTAACTGATGATAACTCAAGAACACAGTGTTATGATGTAATGAATAAATATTTAATGCATGTTAAAATACTATATTTGCATATGACAATACTCTACTGTATTTAAAATTTATTTATCATATATTAATACTTTATTCATATGTATTCTTTTTTTTTATTTCATTACTATGTAATTGCACGAGTACAATTCATTTTGATCCATATTATTGAACCTTTCTTGTTTAAGCAAAAAGCATTACAATTATAAATCATTATTTTGCGTTTCAGTGTTTCTGGGCAGTAGGAGCATGTGCAGAAGTTATCCTTGCTCTTTGGGTAATGCCAACCATGGGCTGGACAGGACTGTTGGGACTCTCAATCATCCCACTCGTTCTCTTTGTGTTGGTCTGCCAGGTAGGCGTACACTTCACACTTACTCTATGCTAGTGTGCCTGTTGGCCCACACTCTGCACGTCCCATTTAAATCCACAACTTATCACTGACATACTTATGTAGTCCAGTATAATCATAAAACCTGCTAGAATTGTTTCTTGATATTTCTAGCTGGCCTGAAATTGTGCACTTTCATAATAATACAGTAGTTCTAAACTTCTTTTCATTGATAATACACTTGTGCTAGGAAGATATGTGTTAGCTCTCCTCAGACAAGAAAGTGGCAAGAGCAGTTAAGAATAAGAAAATAAATTATTTTATGGATATGAAGTGAATATGAGAGAGAAGCAAGAAAATGGGTGTAGTGTGTAATGTTGGTAAAAGGTATGAGAAAAGATTAGTTAAGCAGAAAGATGAGAAGGATTTAAAGGACTTAAAGACTAAGAATATTATTTGGAAAACTGGAAGCTCTTTTTTTTTGGAAAGAAGGAAGTTGAGCAGGAAGTTTGCCAAAGGAATAATCACTAGTCCCCCCTTTTGTTTCATGCTAAATCATGCTGTGTCTGCTTCATTCATATGATGACCAAACAACATATGAAATTGGTAAGAGAAAACTGAATACTCTTAATTGTTAAAAGGCTTGGATGAGATTCTAAGTAAGCAGTGGAAACATTCAGAATAATTGAAGGAGCAATGATATAATGATAATATTTCTTGCATTAACAAATATATAAAATATATTATATTTTCAAACTTTTTAACTTAAATTTTTTCAGTGGTTACCAGAGAGTGCAAGATTTGATGCTACATCAGGAGATTCAGAAAAAGCCTTGGCAACTCTCCAAAAGATTGCTGATGAAAATGGTATTATCAATTTTGTTGAGGTAGAACAGTTGGCCTGTCACCCAGTATTACCATGGGGGAAAGTAGAAAGATGAACCTCTCGTCACTCATTGAGAGTTCTTTTCTTTGGCTACATTCACACTATAATGCTCTGATGATGTGTTCCACTTTCCCCCACTACCACCAGCTTACCATCTTTTGATGTTTTGTCTCTTCTATGTCACTATCTTTTTACACTTTATTCCTTATTTCTCACTAGTATAGGTTTGCTGAGGGCAGTCCTTTTTCTTTCTGTACATTTATAGTTATTAGTGCAAGCAAGTAATTGCTGCTTCACGTTTATGTTAACCATCCTGTATGTGGAATTCTTCGGCAGACGCCATCTGAGCATAGACCTCTCTGTATCCTGCTCCTCGAGGGACATTGTGGGCTCCAGCCAAGGTGAGTGCAACCTTAGCATCCCTGACATAGCAAGGATCTTCTAAAATTGTTACCTCTAGGTCATAAATCAGGTTAGAGAGACAATAGAGAATTCTCAGTCCAGTCCTGAATGATCATCACAAGGTGTATTAATCTACACTCAACCACCACCTTCAACAACAATATCATATCTACATTTGAAACTGTGTATGGAGTCTGCCTCCACCACTTCACTGCCTAATGCATTCTATCTGTTAACTACTGACACTGAAAAAGTTCTTTATAACATCCCTGTGGCTCATTTGGGTACTATGTTACCATCTGTGCCCTCCTTGTTCACATACCACCCTTGCTAAACAGTTTATCTTTATCTACCCTGTCAATTCATCTGAGAATTTTATAGGTAGTGATCATGTCTTCCCTTACTCTTCTGTCTTCTTACTCTTCTGTCTTCCAGTGTCGTGAGGTTTATTTCCAACAATCTTTCCTCGTAACTCATACCTCTTGGCTCAGGAACTAGTCTGATGGCATACCTCTGAACCTTTTCTAACTTTGTTTTGTGTTTGACTAGATGTGAACTCCACGCTGGAGCTGCATATTTCCAGTATTGGTCTGACATGAGGTATACAAGGTTCTTAATGATTCCTTACACAAATTTCTGAAGGCAGTTCCTATGTTCGCCAACCTTGATCTCTGTGTTGTTGATCTCTGGTGCTCACATGTTCTCTTATCACCATGCAGGAGATGCTGGCAGTTTTTTATTGTGGCTTGCAGCCAGTTAGCTTCCAGGGGTTTGTGGGCTTTCAGGGTGGCTGTTGATCTTCACATAGGCAGTTTTTAGGCCAGATCTTCTGGCACTTGTAGTGTGTTTTTGGTGGTAGAGATCCTTTCTGGAGAACCCACCCCCACCCCCCGTTAGCTTCCTGAAGCTCTCTTGCTGAGATTGTTCCATACTAAAAGATCACATCAGTCATGATAGTTCTGTTTGGCCTACTGGGGACCAGAGCCAGAACCTTCATTTCCCTCACAGAAGCACAGGAGGTGGGATGACACTCTGCCACTCCACTGGAAAAAGCCTCCAGAAAGTTTGTGCAGCTTTATGAACAGCTGGAGGGTTTACAGAAAATAATGTCTCGAAACTGCCAAACAACTCTGCAATTTATAGCGTCCACCCCGCTAATAACTGGGTAGCCAATCATGGGTGCATATTCATCATTCCTAAGTAAATAAGAACATAATAATCAAGGTAACTACAGAAGGCTTATTTGCCCATGTGAGGCAGCTCCTACTTATATCCACCCAATCTCACTCATACATACATCCAACTCACGGCTGAAACAATCAAGGAACGCTACCTCCATTATGTCATGCAGCAACTGGTTCCATAAATCAACAACCTTGCCACGGAACCAGTATCCACCTAGGTCTCTCCCACATCTACACTAATTCAACCTATGCCCACCGTTTCGAGTTCCATCCCTTACTGATACCTTCTATACCCTCCATCAACATCCCCTTTGTTACATCTATCCACACACCTCTGTCATGTCGACAAACCCCCCGCCATTCCAGAGAATGTCAAATGACTTGGCAAACTACTGTACAGTATAGCCTGAATACAAGGGGTAAATGAAAGAAACATTGGTGAAAGCATTATCATTACCTGTACTTAGTTATTTTTCTTTTCTGTGTTTGCTCCTGTCATCTGAGGTGATTTTTATAAAGGAGGGATTGAGTTGTGTAAGCCAAGAAATAAGGGTTTAAATGTAGATGAAAGCTCCTCTTTAAGCAAGCCACCTGGTTGCTCACATACTCTTCCTCTTGTCCCAACATACCCTCTTCTTCTTAAGAGTGCATTGTGATGAACGTGAGGTAGGATTGCTGGATGCCTTCTTTAGACATGGCTAATACTGCTATCTGTTTGCAGATGGGGTTAGACAAGGCATTTTGCTAGAAGTTGGTTGTTAGTGGTAGCCTGAAATTGTTGAAGTGTTGAGGAATGTAACTTTTAAAGGTCATTCATAGATGGACAGAGAACTCTCCACTGTTTACACTCTTGCAATATGTGGCCTGATGTGGACAATTTGAATAGATATCTTTGTCAGGGATGTGAAAGCCACTTAACCTGGCTGGTGTCCATAATGCCCCAAGAGGAACATACATTTCCTAAAAAAACTGGAGTAGTGGCCTGTTCAGAAAGTTTTCCATTTACACTCTAACCTTATTTTACAAGTTATTTGGAATAATACAGTATTATGAGTTTCCAGAATAAATAAGTAGTCAAAGATTATATAATGTTTTGGATAAGTTTATTACAAACAAAAAATGTGCAACAATACCTTTTGAGTATAACAGTGTTGAGTACAGATGTACAACAGCAGCTAACCAAAATTATTTCCAGGAAAGCCAATGCTGCTGGGTCGTCTAATTGTTGACGATGTTGCTCAGATGAATCGTGGACGTATAAAGGATTTATTAGTTCAAGACTTGAAATGGACAACATTACTTTTATGGTTTATATGGTAAGATCTCTAAGATGATGTAATTTTTTTTTCTCGGTGAGAGGTAATAGTATGTTGGCATGGATGACGCTAGTTTTTCAAAATTACCAATTACTATTGGCATTTTTCAGGACAGCATACTTTATGCCACTCCTCTTTATCATATACCATGGTGGTACTTGGTAGGTATATTTGTAGGTATATATATGGTAGGTATATATGGACGAGGCTATAGTATATATATATATGGCAGTAGACTCTTGACATCTAACTAATCGATTCTGATCCACTCGTGGATCAGAATCAATAAGTAAAATTGAAAGAACAATAAGTAAAACAAGTAAAATTGAAAGAACAAGTTCATAAAATTTAGTTGTTCTAGATGATACTGAAAGTCTCAAAAGGGTGTAGTAACAAAATTGATGTACAGTAAAGGGATTTTGGGCATCCCAACCCTCCACAAAGATAGGGTAGATCGCATAAAATATCATATATTAACTGGATTTTTTTTTTGGTTTTGGAAGCTGTTGTGTTATCTTGGCAGTAACTTTGGATTTTGAGTTCAGGTTTTTAATATAGTTATGTGGAGCATTTATATGTACTATAGCTGGTCAAATTATTTACTATTTTATGTGCAAACATATTTATTCTGCAACACTAGCGATTCTTAATTACGTGATTCAGGTCATCGTGCGCCTTCTGTTATTATGGTGTAGTCCTCATGACTACAGAACTGTTTGAAGCAAAGGGCAATCTCTGTGCGCTCTCTGGCATGGACGGTGCCTTCACCTGTACAGCAGACTGCCGTCCTCTCAGCTCGGAAGATTACCTAGACCTCCTTTGGACTACACTTGCAGAATTTCCCGGTACTTTATATGTGAAACCATGGACCTGATCTCTTCTAATTGTAATACATAATTTGATCATTGCAATATAGGTTGTACAGCAGAGGCTTACCCTCTGGTGCAACAATGTTTCTGCCCAGAAAGGTGCTTTTCATGTTAAATCAGCCTTATTATTTTTTATGGTCACAAGCTATATTTTTATGCAATTAATGGAGTTTCTTGCAGGTATTTTCTTCACCATTTTGGTCATAGAAAGACTAGGAAGAAAGACGACAATGGCTTTGGAGTTTGGTATTTTTGTTATATCAATTATTATGCTGTTCATCTGTACATCAAAGTAAGTACTGTGCAGTACCAAAATTTGTTGTAATCAAGCATTTATTATTGGTATAAACAAATGCTCTTAATGTTTAGTCTTCATATATATTGAACAAAAAATACATTTTAAATCAGGTAGTCAGGGTAGGAGTTCTTTAAGACAGTTGTGTATAGTACAGTGTAGGAGGAAAGATGTAGATAAATATTAAAGTTTTTTAGAGATAGAACATTATAGTTGTTTTATAAAATAGGTACAGCAGTTGATATACTCGCCTAATTGTGTTTGCAGAGGTTGAGCTTCGACTCTTTGGTCCCACCTCTCAACTGTCATATAAACTGATGTACAAATTCCTGAGCCTATTGGGCTCTCTCATATCTACATTTGAAACTGTGTTTGGAGTCTGCCTCCACCACATCATTGCCAAATGCATTCCATTTGTTAACTACTGTCACTAAAAACATTCTTTATAATGTCTCTATGGCTCATTTGGATACTCAATTTCCACCTGTCCCCCTTAGTGCGTGTGCTCCCTGTTTTAAATAAACTGTCTTTACCTAACCTATCAATTCCTCTGAGAATCTTATATGTGGTGATCATGTCTCCCCTAACTCTTGTGTCTTCCAGCGATGTGAGGTTTAGTTCCCGTATCTATCCTCATAGCTCATACCCTCCGCTCGGGTACTAGTCTGGTGGCATACCTCTGACCCTTCTCCAATTAAACCTCTGGAATCTCCTCCAATATGTGAGGATCAGCACGCACAATTGGTATGAACCAAGTGAAAATTGCATGTGAGAATACCATCTGTTGTAGTACAGTAGTTGCTTTGGGTTGCTGAATGCTTAATAGTTGTAAGGTATATGATTGATAGACGATTCACATTATAGAATATAGAATTTGTACGTGCTCAGTGACTACATTCATGCATCTCCAGTCTATATTCGGTGAATTCTGTCAAGTGCAGAATGCAAATTATTCTTAAACTTTTGATGCAGAAATGTAACTTTACCTGTATAAGTTTGTTAAGTGTAATTACAGGATGTGAACTATGCTCATGGTTGTAATGATCTGTGCTCAGACCATGGCTTCTCCCCCTCTCCCCTTTCTCCTCCTCCCCTTCCCCTTGCCCTTGTTCATTCGTCCCTTCCCCATGCCTCATTCCCTCTTCCCTTTTCCCCTCCTCTGGTGTCAAGCCGTCCTTCCTGCCATAAACCACCCTGAGTCAAGAGGTCCTCTCTTGGGCCCTCTCCGTGGCCACTTCATTTCCCACTTATTTCCCTCTCTATCCCCCCACTCCTTCCCCTCTCCCCTGCCTTTGCTATAGCCAGTGACGAATTGAGGGGCAGTTCACTCAGGGTCAATAAACTGTAGTTCTTAAATTTCGTTGGGTGGCTGGTATCATATACTCTCTGGCCCTGTTTTCTGGATATATCATGGGAACGAGCAAGGTTTCTGTCAAGGGAAAGAGAACCTTAAGGGCAGGCCTATAGCCAGCCAAGGAGGCCTAGGTAGGCGGAGCTTGTCAAGGCCTAGAGCAAGACTTTGAATTTATTGGCTATAGGCTTGGAAAGGCGGGGCTTATTTGGACCTAGTAAAACTTAGTGGGAGGAGCTTGTTCCCACTGGTTTAGTTTAAGAAATTATTAGTCGGTGTGTCTTTGGGAGTAATTGGGGAAAGGTCCCCCATCAGGGCCAGAGAGCAGTCACTCAACATCCTGTGGCTGATTTTGCAGTTTTAAGGTAAAGTGTGGTGGAGTATTATGTCCATCATTAAGTCAGACTATTGCCTCTTAGGGTATTTACAGCTAGGATATATCTCAATTTGATTTCAATATACGTGTTTTAATTAAATAATGTATTAATGTACAGTATTGTGTTTAGTTATCTGTTCCCCTTTGATTAATGCTGAGTCATTGTTATATGTGGTGTTTATGTGCTGTACTAAAAATTCCCCCGTGTTCTCCAGTTCATGGATATTAGTTACCCTTGAATCCTCAGTAAGTAAAGTTATGTAATTTATCCCCCAAGCATTTTTATCAAGATTCGTACGCCCTCTCAGTTCATGATTATTGATTTCTGCCTTTCCTGGGAGATCAGTAATATAGACACTTTCAGATCAGGAAGGTTATTTTGAGGTTGAGATGATTTCGGGGCTTTTAAGTGTCCCCGCGGCCCGGTCCTCGACCAGGCCTCCACCCCCCAGGAAGCAGCCCGTGACAGCTGACTAACACCCAGGTACCTATTTTACTGCTAGGTAACAGGGGCATAGGGTGAAAGAAACTCTGCCCATTGTTTCTCGCCGGCGCCTGGGATCGAACCCAGGATCACAAGTCCAGCGTGCTGTCCGCTCGGCCGACCGGCTCCCAAAGGTGGTGGCAGTGTACAATTAAGTTTTTATTCATTATCTTGAAATTAATAAACCCTTCATTTGTTGCTTCCCCCTCAATTAATATTTCAGTTAATATTAGCTGGTAGGTCAGTGAGGGGTCACAGTGATCTGCAAGCAGTGTTAAGCTTGGAGTGTTGAGTGAGAAAGGGAATAGCAGGGCGGGTTATTACATGGTGTCTTATCTTCCCAGCAATCTTTGTCATATGACCTTGAAACTACTGATGGTTATGGCATCCATTGTCTTATTGCTAAACAATTCCAACCTTCTACAACTCTACAATTAAAATTTCCACATGTTTTCTTGGCACCATTGTTTCCTTAGTTTAAATCTATGACCTCTTATTCTTGAAATTGTAGGTTTAAAAAATTCCTCTATTTTGTTAATTCATGTTACTACTCTGTATGTAGTGATTATTGCCTCTTTTCCTATCTTGCAGCCTTGGCATGTTCATTGCTACCAACGTATCCTCATAGCTCGTGTTTTTAAGTTCCGGGAGCCATTTAGTAGCATGCCTTTGCACCCTTTTTATTTTATTTATGGGCTTCTTGAGATTTGGGCATCACACTATTGCTTCATATTCCAGTTTTGGTCTCACAAGTATCACAGTTTCTTTAATATTTCTCCATTTATATATTTAAATGCACTTTTAAAACTTTCTAGCATGGGCTTCTATCACAGTGTCCTTTGTGATCCTCTGGTGACTGCTTACAATCCAAAACCTCTCCTTGATCTCTTTCCTTGTTTGAAATTTTTAGCATCTTTTCACAAAATTTATAAGTGTGACCTGCTTTTCTCCTATTCCACAGTCCAATAAATGACTATTATTTACATTAAATTCCACCTGCCAATTGTTACTCGATTTGACCTAGGCACTTATTTTGCGTAGGTCAGTTTGGAGGCCAGAGCAGTCATATAAATATATCCTTGACTCTCCCTAGGAATTAAGTGTGTGGCACATTGAAATTAATATTCTGCAATAAAATTCATTAAAGCTTTCATGTATAATATTTATTTTTCAGTAAAAACAATGGGCATCTACCATATAAGTTGTTCGTTTGACTAAAAAGCTTTGCATCTTGTGATAAATTATTTTCTGGGGGGAAGCCCCTACGGCTCCCTGGAGCTATCCATGGCCGATATGGATTGCATTTATAGTTAATATCAAGGCTCGGGGTTTCTGACAGTCCAACAGGGTGTTGACCTATCGCTTCTTATTAGATATTCCACTTCCTCGCCAAACCTGTACTGTATAACTCTTTTTTCCATTTATTCTCGTTCCCCTAATCCTATGTTCCTTTTCATCTAAACTGTTCTCCTGTTCAAGGCTCTGTTGTGAGTAAATATTTAGGAACTGTTAAGGGTTTCCTCCCAGAAGTTAAGCTTTGAATGTAATGAAAGCCCTTTTCTTGTGGGCCCCCCTCAAGGTCTATATTCTTTTCCTTCTTTCCCATGGGGTTTCATACTGGTGCTTGCAAGAGAGGTTGGATGTCGAATAGGCGGTTCTAGGTGGCCAGGGCTGTCATCTGATGGTGGTCAGGTGAGTTCAGGCAAGAGTTGTTAATCTGTAGTCAACTATCATATGCATTGTGTTGTTCTCCTTTTTCTTTGAGCAGTTGTTTGTTTCGTTTGTCTTGATTTTCTGGTCGATTTCTTCATCTTTGGGTTCTCTGATTCTTCAAGCTTCCCTAGCCTCTTTGAGAGAACCAGAGAGTCTGATTCTAGTTCTTAGTTTGTCAGCATAGGTCTCGGAGGCCTTGTATGATATTGCTTCAAGGTATGAGTGCTTAAGCTCTGAGGAGCCCTCCAGAAAAAGAGTATTAATTACATTCAACACTGTTGCTTCTAAATAAATAAAGTAGAAATAAAATTACGTATTATTTTTTCCAGTCGAACATGGCTCACTTTCATACTGTTTGTTGCACGTGGAATAATTTCTGGAGTATTTCAAGCAGCATACGTTTACACACCAGAGGTGAGCATCATTTTGTGTCATGTCTACACTTGAACTTGGCACAATTCAGTTTATGTATTCTCAATCAACCTGAGTTCATTTTATTCAAAGCATGTGCTTATTCATTATTATAATAAGCAGGTGACTCCCATTTTGTGTGTAATTCTTAGTCCTGATAAAATGTTTTAATGTTTTTTCAGGTGTATCCCACATCACTTCGGGCAGTGGGTGTGGGGACATGTTCCGGCATGGCTCGCTTTGGTGCCATGTTAACGCCTATTGTTGCACAAGTATTAACACGCACATCTATACATCTGGCAACAGCCACCTATGGAATTGTAGCAGTTCTTGCCATCGCTGCAGCATTGATGCTACCCATTGAGACAAGGGGGAGAGCAATGTCTTAGTTTTTTATTTAAGACTCCAGATCTTCATCAGAATTTGAATGTACTTTTAAGAAGACTTAAAATGACTGCATTCTATACTGTACTGTGTTTCTGAAGTGAGATAGAAATAATGGATGAAGAAGAGATGTATCATATACAATATATCATGTCAGGGCTGCTTGTATCTTGTTTTTTGTCATTTCTCTGTTACATGTTGTGCTGGTTGGCCAGCATGGTAAACTACCACCATTGCTGCATTATTAGTATGCAGCAATGGACCCTATTGTGTGGCCCTCTCTCTCCACCCTGTGAAAATTATTATGTATTACAGGCATGTTCAGAAATTGTCTGCATTGCACCTCTGTAGATGCCATTTAACATTGAGAATTTTGAAGAGTAGCAATTCCATAGAGTTTTAAACACTGTCAGAAGCACTGGGAAGTATAGCAATGCAGCTCATTTGACTGTTGGAAATAAAAAATTTAATAATCACTACTTTTCTTGGGGGAGCCCCTTTGGCTCCCTGGAGCTTACTAGGCTGATATGCTAATGTCAGACTTTGGCATCAGTCATGTGTATGGAGTTCTATGGGCCTACCGGGAACCACAAACCAGAACCTGGCCCCCTCAGAAGAGGCATGGGTAGCAGTGACCTATAGAAACCCCCGTGTGGTTGGAAGCATTCTATGTCTGCCATCGACCGGGTCAGGCATCCAGAAAGGTAAGCATCCCAAAACAAACCCCCTATTCTGGTGAAAATATTGCTACCAAAAGCCGAACATGTGGATAGAACTCCCCTAAATGAAACGAGCAAACAATCATGACGTCTCACGTCGCCGCGCCGCTATCTGGGCAGCTCCCCCCTTCCTGGGAGGATGAACGGGGAGCCTCAGACCCCATAGCCGGCTATCCACCCTAAGCAACAAGCAACAAGCAAGAATCCAAGCACAAGCAACCAAAGAATAAATATTTTCCATATTGGGAAAGTTCTGAACATTTCTTCAAGAATATCATTGTTTTTAGTACTGTATTCAATATTTATTTTGATTAGATAATGTATAGTTTTTCATTTTGTTTTATTGCACTGAATGACATTTTTTCTAATTTCACTACAAGAGTGAATTTGTTGCTTTTACTATTTATTTATTATTAAAATTTTTGTTTACTTTGCAAATATTCGACATAATTTTATATAAAAATTACCCGTTACCCCTTTTCCCTCCACTTTCATGGGCTGGGGAGGCATTTGCTTCTTAGGAGGAAGAAGAGGATAATGATATAGCATCAGAGAGAGCTTGTGCCATGTACCATCACACCACAGCTTCATAAAGAGTAACACTAATAACAGTTTATAATATTCTAAAAAGTCTAGCGACACAATACAGTACATATATTGCTCACATGAAAAGAACCATTATTAATGAATTTGTCGGTGAATTTGTATACTTTTACAAAATTAAAAAGTTCATGATACTGTAACTAAACAACTTTGCCACACAGTGTTGATATACATCAACACAGTATATTGATGTATAGTGAGACATTGAGTTAATGTAGGGTTCTTTGGCAGTAAACTACAATTAGAGCTTTGCCAAGATATTCACAAATTTTTTTTGTGTGTACTTGGCCAAAATATTTAAAATGGGTATGTATGTTTGGGTTTTGTGTTGGCACTCCCTATCTGTTCTTCAATTGTTTTTTTTATATTTTTGTATCACATGCATGGGTTTGATTTATTTTGCAGCTTAATGCTTTAATTATTACAATGCTGATGAATGTGCATTAAGCATGACACTGATGAATCTATTCAACATTACCACATCATTTCAGTATGCTATTGAGGAAAGCAAACCTAAAATGGTTTGGGCATACTGAATGAATAGATGATGGTAAACTGGTGCAGTGTGTTTATTCAAGTGGATTTGAGGAAACGCAGTGTCGAGTGTGTGTGTGGGTAGTGATTGTAATCAACTTGCAGGACAAAGCTGGGAAGATGGTTTGTAAGAAGGAAGTGAATGTGTATGTACTCTATGACAACTGTAAACCTGGTCTTGTGTAGTGGTGCATTGCTGCTGTGGATGATTGAGTGTTGGGATTCTATATGTTATAAATTATGTTGTGAATGCATACGTAATACTTTTAATATTTTATTGTCAATTAATATCTACAAGCTTTTACTATACTGTATTACTGTACTGTATATGCCTTCTTTTCTAATAGGCTGCTTGCTTTACAAGTCCCCATCACCATGAAAGTTGGGAAATAGGGGTAATATGTAAAATTATGTATTGCTGTGATTTTTTTAATTTGTATATATTGTACTTGTATATACATATTCTATTGTTCAATATATTGTTTTAACAGAATACCCCTTGATTCTTTAAACCCATCCCATATTAAATCAATATAAAAAAAATTATTACTGCCAAAGGAAGCAGTGAATGATTTTTTATAAATCAGGAGCAGTAAGAAGTGTTCCCAACGATTTACTTTTGTTGATAGTAAAACAATAAAGCCAATAAGTAACAGGACTCATTTTTCCCTAAAAACTTAATTATTGTTGCTAATTCATTAGTAAAAAAACAATTATTATTATTAGTTATTAATACTGTAATACAAAATTCCTACAATTTAAAACAATTCAGAAGAGTTATTGGTTGCCTAAAATAGATCATGTTTGATCTATTTTCTTGATCTTCAATAGATCATGATCAAAATAGATCTAATCTTCATCAATCAATCAATCGTAGTTATCCGAACGGGAGACATCCCCCGACACGCAGGGTGCAGTCGCACCTCCACAGATATCAAGTACCAGCTATTCATACTGGTAATGGCTCCAAAGGGCCTCCACTTACGGGCTATTCATGCCCGTGCCAGCTTTTGGGTGGCTTAATCTAAATCAATCAATCAATTGAATGCTCTGTGGACAGAGCATCAATATGGCTTAAGGCGTTGAGCTTTGCCTCAAGACGAAGCTTGGACTGACCCCCTCCCCCGGTGTTGGAAGTCCCTGGGTAACTGCAGTGAGCACACACTGGTCCAAAGAAGCCAGCTGAGTTCAGATATGAGCTCCGGATGAGGTGAGGAAAGAAAACCCAGCCAAGAGCGTTCAATCCGCGCGCCAAGCTGGCCGACCCTCGCGCGGGAAATCCAATTATAAAGTGTGCGAGAGAGTTGCGTTCACCGTCAACAGATGGCACCACTTGCAATGTCAACAAAACACATATATAAAATTTTATAAACAGCAACTGTAAAAATAAATTATTTAAAGATAATCCCATTATTTTAATTCGATAACTGAATATATATAAGAGTGAGGAGCGATTTTGCTGGGTGTGAGGCGGAATGGGAAGGAAATCTTTATACAGACGCCCCGGCATCCCTTACTGTGGCGGCCGCCGAGGTAACATACGAACTGCACACGATCGTCCTCGCCCTTAAGTCAACAACACACTAACTGTTAGGCTCCCTGCTCCTGACCACCACATCCAGTAGGTAGCTGTGTTTGTTGTGTTGGAGGCTGGTAGCTGTGTTTGTTGTGTTGGAGGCTGGTAGCTGTGTTTGTTGTTTTGGAGGCTGGTAGCTGTGTTTGTTGTGTTGGAGGCTGGTAGCTGTGTTTGTTATGTTGGAGGCTGGTAGCTGTGTTTGTTGTGTTGGAGGCTGGTAGCTGTGTTTGTTGTGTTGGAGGCTGGTAGCTGTGTTTGTTGTTTTGGAGGCTGGTAGCTGTGTTTGTTGTGTTGGAGGCTGGTAGCTGTGTTTGTTATGTTGGAGGCTGGTAGCTGTGTTTGTTGTGTTGGAGGCTGGTAGCTGTGTTTGTTGTGTTGGAGGCTGGTAGCTGTGTTTGTTGTTTTGGAGGCTGGTAGCTGTGTTTGTTGTGCTGGAGGCTGGTAGCTGTGTTTGTTGTGTTGGAGGCTGGTAGCTGTGTTTGTTGTGCTGGAGGCTGGTAGCTGTGTTTGTTGTGTTGGAGGCTGGTAGCTGTGTGTTGTGTTGGAGGCTGGTAGCTGTGTTTGTTATGTTGGAGGCTGGTAGCTGTGTTTGTTGTGTTGGAGGCTGGTAGCTGTGTTGGAGGCTGGTTGTTGTGTTGGAGGCTGGTAGTTGTGTTTGTTGTGTTGGAGGCTGGTAGTTGTGTTTGTTGTGTTGGAGGCTGGTAGCTGTGTTTGTTGTGTTGGAGGCTGGTAGCTGTGTTTGTTGTTTTGGAGGCTGGTAGCTGTGTTTGTTGTGTTGGAGGCTGGTAGCTGTGTTTGTTATGTTGGAGGCTGGTAGCTGTGTTTGTTGTGTTGGAGGCTGGTAGCTGTGTTTGTTGTGTTGGAGGCTGGTAGCTGTGTTTGTTGTTTTGGAGGCTGGTAGCTGTGTTTGTTGTGCTGGAGGCTGGTAGCTGTGTTTGTTGTGTTGGAGGCTGGTAGCTGTGTTTGTTGTGCTGGAGGCTGGTAGCTGTGTTTGTTGTGTTGGAGGCTGGTAGCTGTGTGTTGTGTTGGAGGCTGGTAGCTGTGTTTGTTATGTTGGAGGCTGGTAGCTGTGTTTGTTGTGTTGGAGGCTGGTAGCTGTGTTGGAGGCTGGTTGTTGTGTTGGAGGCTGGTAGTTGTGTTTGTTGTGTTGGAGGCTGGTAGTTGTGTTTGTTGTGTTGGAGGCTGGTAGTTGTGTTTGTTGTGTTGGAGGCTGGTAGTTGTGTTTGTTGTGTTGGAGGCTGGTAGCTGTGTTTGTTGTGTTGTGTACAGCCAAGTGTTTTTTTTGTATAAAGATATTTTTTATTTCTCAGACGTTATCATGAATAGAGACGGCAGAGTTAACAAGAGGAAGAAGTATCGTCGCACAAAGTGCATTGTTAGTCACCCAAATGCTCTATTTGACAAATGGCTTCAAGAATGGCAAGAAGCAGCAGCACGTAGCAATTCAAATATGAAATTTAACTTTCAGAGGGTATGTTATTGCTGACAATTTAGTTAACAAGATATTTAATTATGTGAAAAGTTAACTTCTAACTTTTCTAACACGCTATTGTGATTTCTGTGTGTTATGTAATAGTTTGTTGTTTGTAAAGTTTGTAATTTTAGTTGAGAGAACTAATGTGAATAATTAATAATTTATAGTTTAAAACATTACTAGCAATAATGCTTTTTTATAATTTATTTGTGTACTGTATATTTATAGGCTCGGAAGTCACTGAGGTTGTTTCCACTGCCTCTGTACTCTGGGAAGGACTGTAAGGTACTGGCAAATTTTGGAGATAAAATCTGCCATATGCTTGACCAGCGCTTAGAACAACATGTGCAGGAAAATGGACCAGTAGAATGGGATCAAATTCATAAGGTAAATACAAAAGTTAATTGATTACAATATTGTTTCCACAAAATAGCACAAGTATTCAAGTGTAAGATTTACGATATGTTTACCTAACTTTACAGTATTTCTAAAATATTTTAGTTTTTATTGGGGGAACCCCTTTGGCTCCCCGAAGCTATCCAGGCTGATATGTATATCCCTAACCTTTGGCATCAGTCAGTGTGGATTGCGTTCTAGGCCTACCGGGGACCACGGCCAGAACCTAGCCCCCTCAGAGAGGCACAAGGAGCAATGGCCTATATAAATGCATATGTGATTTTTGGAGCATTTTATATTTGCCATCAACCAGGACAGGCACCCAGAAAGGTACTGGATGCTGGGTACTGGTACTGGGTGACTCGTCTGCTGAGTTCTCGGGGTTTGGCTCTCCTGGCGGTTCATGTCCGGGTGTGTCCAACGTCCTGGCAGATGGCCTGTCGCAGTTCATTCCCCTGTCTACGGAATGGACGATCGATGCCGACTCATTCAGTTGGCTCTGCCAGACATTGGGGCGCCTGGAGGTGGACCTCTTTGCGTCAGCGTGGTTGAAGCTTTTTCCGGTATATGTGGTGCCCTTCCCTGACCGCGAGGCTGGCAGGGTCGATACCTTTCAGCAGGACTGGTCGAGGTGGGGGGGGGTCCTGTACCTCTGCTCCCCGGTTCAGCTGTTGCTCCAGGTCCTGGCTCGTTTGGAGACTTACCAGGGAAGAGTAGTCCTCTTGGCCCTGTGGTGTTCGGCCCAGCCTTGGTTTCAGGCGCTGCTTGCCCGGTGTCCGAACCCAGAGGTTTTTCCTTGGTTCCACCTCTTTTAACAGATCGGCCTGGTCCGTTACGAGACTGGTTCAGTCATCTCGAGTCTTCGCATTTGGTCTTTTTGACTCGAATCTATCACCATCTGTATGGTGATCAGGTGGCTTCTTTGCTGGTGTCCTCCTGCAGGCTTTGTCTCGGCTGCCGTATAAAGTTTTCTGGCGGTCCTTCCGGTTCTTTTTGTCTCTCCGTCGCTGTTCTTTGCTTTTGGTTAAGGTTTTTTGTTCTTTCTCTCGTGGCTGTTTCAGGACCGTCATCTTATGCCGAATATTGTCGCCTCGTATCATGCGGTGTTGGCGGAGCCGCTGCAGCTTGCTTTCGGTATTGATGTTACTTCTGTGGCGTTTTGCAAGCTGTCTCGGGCATTGTTTCACCTCTGGCCTGCTCATGTGCTGCCTGGACCGTCCTTGTCTTTGAACAGAGTGCTCTCTTATTTGTCTTCTCTTCAGTTTGTTATGGCTCCCTTCAGCTCAGGATTGTTTTTCTAAGGCTCTTTTTCTTGTTGGCATAGGCCTTGGGGGGTTGGGTCGGGGAGTTTCATGCTCTCCTCCGGCGCAGGGGTTTCTGCTCTTTTGGTCGAGGTGATAGGTTCGTTCGTTTTCAGCTGTTTCCTTCTTTTCTGGCGAAGAATGATACTGCTGCTTTCTGGAGGTGTTCTTAGGTTGTTTGTGCTTGATTGGTCAGGCTGGGGGTGCATCATGTGTTGTGTCCGGTTGCAGCTCTTCACCCTTATTTGCACGCCAATGCCTGTGTGTCCGGGGACACGCTTTGGGTTGATCCGGTTTCCCTTCTTCCCTGTTCTAGGGTTCGGGTCTCTCAGGTCGTCCACAGGGTTATTCGGTCTAGCCAGCCTGCGCTCTATCCCCATGCCCATGATGGTTGTAAGTTTGCTGCGTTGGCTGCCGTTTTTGGTAAAATGTCCTGGGCTGACATTTGTACATATTGCCAAATATGACGAGGCATCTATTATTCAGTAAGTTGCATGTTCAAAATGTTTTCAGAATATTATTGCTCATATTTTATATTTTTTACATACCGGTAACTAAATTTTATTCCCTTAGATCAGGATGGAACCACCAGAGAAAAGAAAAAAGAAGACAACTGTACAGGTATATACAGCTGCTGCTACAGAAATGAGTGTTGATGCATCGGTTACTTCCTCAGTGATTTGCAAGGTTAGTTATCTGTATTGAAGATATGTTGCGGCCTGAAGCTTTCCAGTTAAACCTAAGTACAGTACAACCTTGATTCAACGTACCCCGATTCAACGAATCTACGGCTAGTTTGCACACTTTTCAGGCCAGATTTACTCACCCGGTTCGGCGAACGATGGTTCGCCGAAGCGGGGGATGTTCGGATTTGCTTACGATGTTGAGACAGAGTTCACAGACTGGTGGAAAACTTTCCCATTCCATCACAGGTTACAATTAATAATTCCTTCATATGACAAGTTGAATCACACAAGTGGGCCACACAAGTGGACCACACAAGTGGACCACACAAGTGAACCACACTAGTGAACCACACAAGTGGATGCACACATGTGACCGCACAAAAAGTGTGCGTCCTAACCGGAGATTCGAGGTTGCACTGTATGCTGTTTGTGGCAGTTGTTTTATAAATAAGACCATAGCTAAATTTGCCTAGTTCTACTCGGCTGTGCTTGCAGGGGTTGAGCTCCCGGACTTTGGTCCCGCCTCTCAACTGCCAGTCAACTTGTGTACACGTTCCAGAGCTTATTGGGCTCTATCATATCTACATTTGTAACTGTTTGGAGTTTGCCAGCACCATCTCACTTCTTAGTGCATTCAATTTGTTCACTACTCTGACATTGAAAAAATCTTTCTAATATCTCTTTGGTTCATTTGGGTACTAAGTTTCCACCTGTGTTCCCTTGTTCATGTACTGTACCACCCATGTTAAATAGTCTGTTTCTTTATCCTGTCAATTTCTTTGAGAAATTCATAGATGGTAATCATGTCTCTCCTAACTCATGTCTTCCATTGATGTCATGTATAATTCCAGTAGCCTTTCCTGTAGCTCATACCCCTCAGCTTTGGTACCAGTCTGATGGCATACCTCTGAATTTTCTCTAATATTGCCTTGTGTTTGATTACACTGGAATATTGGAGAAGCACGGACTGTACACTGGAGCTGCATACTCTAGAATTGTACTGACATATTTGATTTGCAAGGTTCTGATGATTCTTTACAGAAGTTTCTAAAGTCATTTCTTATGTTGGCAAACCTAGCATATGCTGGTGGTGGTATGTGCTTCGTGAGACAGGTTCAGTGTGATATCAACCATTCAGATCGTTCTCTCCCTCTACCTGATCCTTGAAGGATTCCATCTCCCAGTTGGTATCTTGTGTCTGGTCTCCTTCTCCCTACACCTATTTTACTTTACACTTATTTGAGTTAAACTTTAGTAACAATTTATTAGACCATTCCTTCAGTTTGTCCAAGTTGTTTCCTACTATCTTCCTGTATCTTAATCCTTCTCAGATTTTTGCATCATCAGCAAACACTGAGAGGAATGAGTCTATATCCTCTGAGATCTCCCTCCTCACTGTGTAACTTGCTGCTTTCTGTTACAGTACTTATCTCTTATCTGCTGAAGCACCTTACCTGTTACTCCTGCCAGGTTCTCCAACTTATGAACCAGCCTTCTATGTGGAGAGTGGTGTCGAAACTTTCTGTATAAAGTGTGTAATAAACTTTAACTTTCTTACAAATTTGTAAATTGCATTTTTACAGGAAAATAATGATGGAAAAAGGAGTAAGGACTATATACCAGCATTAAGATCTGGTGCTTATGCCTTGCTGCTCGCTCTCTACAATGCCTCGGATAAAGACAATTTTCAAGGTATTGACCGCAACTATAATATTTTTTACCTCTGATTTTGCATATTATACAACGTGCTATACATGGTTGTTAAGTAGCTGTCTATAAAGTGCCACTGAATGAATATTAACGTAACGTAAACTTTTGGCTGTAGTAGTTTAGTTCTTTATTAATAAACTGTTAATTGTTATAGAAAACAGTCTTTTATGTCAACCCTTCAACTTTATAGTTCCACCCATGTTCTGCATTTTACGACTGTTCTAGTAATGTGAGCTTTTAATGAAGGCCTGCTTCTGGGAATCCGATCCTGATTCATAGCACCACACATCTGGTGTGAGAGTCTGTGGGTTTCCCTTACTTGTGCTATGGGATAAAAGGAGCCCGAAGGTCTAGTGGATAGGGATTTCACCCTAGGGGTGAAGTCCCGGCAGTTGCTCCCGCCTACTTACGGTCTCAAGCCTAAAAGTACAAGCTGCACTTGAGCAGTCCTTTCTGTTTGAGGTTCACCTCCTAAAGGAGGTAAACGTAGGAAGAATCTCGGAATGACTTGACTTCATGACTTGATGCTCAGCTTAGTTTTGTGCCAGCTACTCAGTTGCTTTTGTGCCAGCTACTCAGTTGCTTTTGTGCCCTCTTCTTTTCTTTCGGCTCACCCTTAGCTTCTCTGGGCTCCAGCTGGGATAAAACGGTGATGGTGGTTCTCAGACACTTCTGTTGTGAGTGGATAGTGACATCTGATGGCAGATCGTGGTAACTGCCAGGTTTTTTCTAGTTTATTTTCTACCTCAAACATAGCTATTAATTTACAATGGTAACCACAGTATGCTCATGTTTCTGTCCTCCGTGGGCAAGGCTAGTGATCTGTTAGACAATATATTGTGTCATGAGTTATTGAGCACTCGACCACAGAAGTGATTGTAGTGCTCTTCTTTTGTTAATCTAATAAATGTAATCTGAATTTGTCTGCAGACATTATTTACAGCTCTGTTCAGCTGGTATTGTAGTGCTAATTTTCCTTGCAATACAGTATTTCATAATCATCAACTATTTAAATATTTCAGCCAAATCATTGTTTTAATTCATTTTCTTCCTCAAAATTAGGTTTTTTAAAAAAGGCTGAGCTAATGGAAGCTGCACAACCTCTATGTGATGCTTCGTTCCTGCATGCCTCTGAAGGTTCTCGGTACACTGCTTGGTCCTCCATGAGTACTCTTATCAAGAAGGAACTTGCTAAGCGAGAGGGCAACCCGTCCAGGTTATAACTTGTGCAATATCTGCTTCTTATTTTTCTGTATTTTGATAATAATTATAATGTTCATAAATTGACAACTCAGTCAGCTTGTATGGTTCATTGAGATTTAGTTAAAGTAAAACAAGTCCTTAAAGGTAGAAAGGTAGTTAAGTTTTCAACTGGTGAGATGGATTCAGGCACAAAAACTTTAAATATGTCATCTAGTTGCAAGCATAAGCAAAGAATTTTTCTGGGGGGAGCCCCTTCGGCTCCCAGGAGCTTACTAGGCTGATATGCTAATGTCAGACTTTGTCATCAGTCATGTGTATGGTGTTCTGTGGGCCTACCGGGGACCACGAGCCAGAACCTGGCCCCTCAGAGAGGCCAGCTTCAGCTTGCTTTCTGTATTGATGTTACTTCTGTACTGTTTTGCAAGCTGTCTCATGCATTATTTCACCTCCGGCCTGCTAATGTGCCACCTGGGTCGTCCTAGTCTTTGGACAGAGTGCTCTCTTTTCTTTCTTCTCCTCGGTTTGTTGTGGCCCCTTCAGTTCAGGATTGTTTCTCCAAGGCTCGTTTTCTGTTGGCATTGGCCTCTGAGAGTCGGGTTGGGGAGCTTCATTCTCTTCTCCGGTATAGGGGTTTCTGCTCCTTCGGTCTTCGTGATGGTTTTGTTTGTCTGCAGCCGTCTCCTCCTTTTCTGGCGAAGAATGAGACTGCTGCTTTCCGGAGGGGTCCCTGGGTTGTTGATGCTTGGTTGGTCAGGCCTGGGGTACATCATGTTTTGTGTCTGGTTGCGGCTCTTATTATTTAATTGTGCGCCACGGCTTCTGTGTCCCGGGACGCGTTTTGGGTTGATCCGGTTTCCCTTCTTCCATGTTTGCGGGTGCGGGTCTTCAGGTCGTTCACGGAGTTATTAACCCTTGTGTGGCTCTGGGCTATTTAGCATTTGTCACCCACAGGCACATACCAAAAAAAAAAACTTTTTTTTCTTCCTAACCTGTTAAGTCGTGTTCCCTGACCACGAGAAAAAAAAAATTAAATTGTGCTTACCGATGACATAATTGAGCCGACAATATGGGCGATGACAAAACTCCAACCGAGCCAGAACCCAAAGCAACAACTGGACTGGCAAGAGGTACAGGTAACCTCACCTCAACCAGTCCAGTCGAAGGGTGTCCACTGCGAAAGCCTCACAGTCGGGAAAGGGCGCTACATATACTGGGAGACACCAAGACCACGCCGACGCGAAGAGGTCCTCTTCCGGGAGTCCATACATCCGGCAGAGCCAACTGAAGAAGTCGGCATCGACCGTCCGTTCCGTGGACAGGGGAATGAACCGAGACACCCATCCGCCAGGACGTTGGACACTCCCCGGATATGAACTGCACGGAGAGCCAAACCCCCAGAAGCCAGCAGATGAGTCACTCGAAGAGACCAGCCCCAAAGAGGCAAGGGCCAAAGACAACTCCCTTGGTTCAGGCAATGAACCATAGGAGAACAGTCCGAATGGAGCCGGATGGTGAAACCCCAAGTGACCCAAACCCTCCAAAGAGACAGCCAAACCGCCGCGAACCCCAACACTGTGCTGTGAGCTCGATGGAAGGACGGACCCTACCGCCCATGACCGGCCTGGTGAGCACTGGTCACAAAGTCCCAGCCGAGAGACGACGCATCTGTGAACACATCGAGTTAGAGCTAGGGTAGGCACCAAGGCACTGAACCCCGAAAAATCCGAAGAGGAAGCCGGTGACGCAGCAACCAAGGCAAGGCCCCCAGAGGACAAACCCAGCGATTGTGCGAGATAGGCGTAAGGGATGACCCCAAAGGAATCAGAACAGATGCCGAAGCCAAACCCACCCAGCGGATAGACCAGCACGGCAAAGTTCAGACTCCCACATAACTGCTTGAGCCTGGGCGTTCTTGTGTTGCTTTGGGTCACAGGTTGCAGCTAGTTGTCTCGACATCGCATTGAGGAGTGTGTGGCGGCCACCTCCCCAGTAAGTCCCTCTTTTCCTTATCTTTAGTTATGTAGTTCCAGGGAGTCAAAGTGGCTCCCCACAGAAAACCAGCGTTGAATGTAATGAAATGCCATTTTCTGGGTGAGACCCGGAGGCTTCTTGGCAACCCTCCCTCCCTCCCTCTGATTGGCAGTTTTCGTGTGGTTTATACTTACCCTCCAACCTGGAATGGGTGGGACGCCAGCACAGGGGGGTCTGTGGCTCCCCCCTCCCCCTCCCGGGGTGAGGGAGGGGGTGCACGAACGAGCGACGCAGCGATGGAGTGTGATGTTTGCTTGTTTCCTTGGGATTGGAGGGAGTTCTGCCTCTCTGTTCGGTTTTCAGTTGCAATTTTCTTACCATGTAGGATCTGTTTTGTCATGCTTACCTTTCTGGGTGCCTAACCCCGGTCGATGGCAGATAAGGAAAACCCCCCAACCACAGGGGGGTTTTCCAGGACCAATGCTCCCTGTGCCTCTCTGAGGGGGCCCAGGTTCTGGCTTGTGGTTCCTGGTAGGCTGAACTCCATAGACTAGTGCCACAGTCTAATGATTTACATATTAGCCTGATAGCTCCAGGGAGCCTCCAGGGCTCGCCCAGAAAATGACATTTCATTACATTCAACGCTGTTTTTTTCTCTTATTCTTACCTTTTCCTCTTGTTCTTACTTTTCATCTTATTCTTATCTTTTTCTCTTGTTCTTACTTTTCATCTTATTCTTGCCTTCATCTTTTTTCTTAAATTCATCTCAACTTTCATCTAATTTTTACCTTCATCTTTCTCTTACATTCATTTCTTCTATCATCTCACATCTCACCCTTATAATGTTTGTCTCTTCCACTACCTTTCCAATAAAGGACTTGATAATGGGCCAGGATGGACCGAAACGTCATTGTTTCTTCATTTTCAGATGTGTGGGTTTGTTATCAACTCTTTAGCCATGTTATTGTAACTCATCATCTGCTTATTAAATGTACTTGTAGTCATCTTACTAATGTCTGTATTCTATTTCTTTTCTACAGATACAGCATAACTCATAAAGGAAAAACATTAGCAGTCAGATTAATGATGGCTGAAAGCATTAATGACTGCAACTCGTCTTCTTTGTCATCCTTATCCTGCAACAACATAAATGACTCTAGAGTTGTAGACTCAAGAACGTCCAGCTGTATGAGACTAAGTAATAGGCGAGTTGATTATCATGAAGGTATGGCAAACCCTGCTGATAATAACAGGAATGCTGAACTTACCTCAACTCTCGTCAGTAATTCAAGAATTCGCAGAGAATCTCTAAATGGTGATATTTCATCAAACAAAGTGACAACATGCGCATCATTTGTCACCACAACGAATTTACAGCAAGGTAGAGCAGCTGTGACTTCATTCTCATAAAATGTGTATAGATTTATGAAATAATTTCATAATATAACATTGTTATGAATATATTTTTAATAAATTGTTAACACACTACCGTGTATGTAACATATCATTCACCTGGGCACTAGGAGCCTCGAACACCCAACCTCCGTGCTGGCAGTCGGGTGTTCGAGCCTCTTGTGCCCAGTTGAATAAATATATTTCATAAATTTAACAGTTTAATCTCTCCCTGCTGACAAAATGTACTTTACAGTACAGTAATAAATACTAAAACTTGAAAGTCCAAGATTGATTAATCATGTTAATCAGTTTTTAGTTTCCTCAATTTCTCTAATTCTTCTTAATAATTTTTCTTGTCATATTTCTAATTCAGTATAATATTTGCAGATGGTTTACAGTTCAGCTATGTTACGAGTCTCGGGGTTGAAACGCCAGAGAAAGATCGAGCAGTTGTTGCTGTTGAGGAAGATGGTTTCCTGGGTTTTCTCATGAAATGTTCCTTGTCAGATCTTGTTAACTCTGACCTTTGTTATCGTCTTGATAAATCCAGGTACATTACTGTAAGATTCTGTTACAAAAAGTTTATATGTCAATAATCACTATGCCAGACAATTCTATATTGTCTGGCATAGTAGGCCGAGTACTGCTTTCTGGCTATTAGGGACAACATACATACATACATACATACATATATATATATATATATATATATATATATATATATATATATATATATATATATATATATATATATATATATATATATATATATATATATATATATATATATATATATATATATATATATATATATATATATATATATATATATATATATTAATAAAAAAAATTTAAACCTAGAAGGGGTACCACCTCTGGTGCAAGTGTAGGAACCCATAGCCTTGGAGAAGAAAATAAAGAGTACTCAGAGAAGACCTGGTGGATCCTCACTGAACACTGATATTTTCTTCTCCTACCACCCCTATTCTTTTGGTATGTGTGTATATTTATCTAACTTTATTTGAAAATGTCATTACACAAAAAAAATTACAATATTGATTACATGCAGGGTACAAGGCTGCTTGTCACAAGTTGTATAGCTCTTCCAGCTCCTCAGGTGGCGGGCAGGAACCATGGATGCAGTGAGCATTTCCTCTCGATCACCACACTAAGGTGCTGAAAGAGAAAACCGGCAGCTCTAGGGTCTCTAGTTGTTTCAATTAGCTTGGACCCCAACGCCTTCAAAAAACTAGCAGCACTTTTTCCCCAGGCACCAAGTGTCTCTGAGGCAATGGGGACAAAATTGTAGTGGTGCTCCTCAAGGTCACTATATTTACATGACTTGGCTGCTTCCCGGTGATTGGCAGCACCTCCTGCTTGTGTAGCACTGAAGTCAACATAGGTGTTGGCTAAAGTTGAAGCACAAGTGTGGTCCCACACCAACTGTCTACCATTCTTCCAGGGGTTCACCGTGATTCCGTCTGGGCGACCGACAGGCTCATCAGAGTTGCGGGACATTAGGTAACGGGGATCTCTCTCGGCTGGACAACCGGCTGTGGTAACTCACAAACCCAATAATCCTGCAAGACCAATTATTACCTCAGTTGGATCTGTGTCATACAAATTTTCAAATGGATTATCCATATCTTGTAGTTGGTTCAATTTTCCTCGTTCAATAAAGTTCCGGTTGATGACCTGGCATTCTTGTCAGATGAACTTCCCAAATATAATTAGTGTTAATGATGAATTAATAGGGAAAGCCCCATCAGCTCCCTGAAGCTATCACATTGATCAAGTGCGATATTACTAGGTTTCATCAGTTGCAGAGTTCTATTGGCCCACCGGGGCCCACGAGCCAGGACCTGGCTCGTGGTCTCCAGTAACTCCGTGGCTGATGTGACATAGAGTTGGGAGCCTTGTCAGCGAAATTCATTACATTCCACACTGGATTTTGTTAAGTATCTGGTATTTTTATAATTTATAGAAAATTATGAAAATTTTGAATTACCAGTACTGGGAACATTTATCTCATAATTATATTTGTAAAATGATAGTAATACTTAGAAGTTATATTTGGATAGTAACTGTATTTCCAGGAGTGCCCCTCCTGGTTTCACGTATGCATATTTATCAAATGACTGTGCACCGGCATTAAGTCCTGGTCTCCGCTCGCTCTCTCTATCATCCCCAGTTACTTACAACAAGCACGTCTCAGTAAGAAGACAAGCATTTGGCACAAGTTTTGCACCTTCATCAGGTACGTTATGACTACTTTCCTCATGTCTGAAAAAATTCATACAGCACCGCTAGTTATGGCAATATTTTCTGTTTTGGGTCTGCTATAATTATTTTTCTAATCTCAAAATAAATTCAATATAAGTACATTACCAGAGAGTTAGTCAACTGCTGTGAGTTAGGAAAACTGCTATAAGTCTACCACATTTCCTCTTGCTAAAACTTACTGAATAGATCATACTACTTTTGTAAAAGATTACATCGTTGATTTTCATTTCAGACAAAAATATACATAGAGAATTGGTTGATGGATCTGTACCAGTTTTTGAAAGAGGACTAAACTCTGAGATATTGCCCTCATTGTCAAGACAGAATTTGGCTCATTTTCCACAGTTTACTTTTCTTTCTGGAGAATATGAAATACTGTTGTGCATCGATAATGCAGAGATAACTGGAGGGTAAGTGATTGCTGTGTGTCCTGGATTTAGCAGTACTGTATTGCTGTTTTATATTTCATTAGGCTTTGAGAATGTCACAGTAGTGTGTCCAATACAGTTACACCAACCCAGCCTCCTGTTTAGATAGTACTCTTTGTAACTTATGGACCATACTACAGACATAGATGTACTGAACCATTACATAGTATAATTTGGTACTATTCACTTGATAAGAGTCGGGGGAAAAAATATAGCTGAAAACCAAAATTAAATATTCCTAGGCCTAATATAGTACATATATGTACTATTTTAGGCCTCCGGTACCATGTATTTGGCCTGGGAAGAATAGGTTAGGTTAAGTTTTATTTGCAACATGAATACAAAAACTTTTCCAGTTTGTCTAAATTCAATAGTTACAGTTGTGTGTGTAAACTAAAGTCTTTGAAAATGTAATAAGTTATTACAAAACGTGTTCAAGCGTTGTGTCAGACTAGAAATAAAAATGAATTTTGGAGAATTGATTTTTCAATTACCATTGACAGTAAAAAGAACCATAAGAAATATTGAGAAAATTCGTGTTAGAATTATTAATCTTACTTTTTCGGTCATATTTAACAACATACATGATAATATTCCCTAAAGTTTGTTCCATTGAACAGAAGTCAGGTAAAAGTATTTGCTCACTGTTCTACAGAGATCATTTTAAACTGTTCCTACAAAGTCATATAAGGTGCATGGGAAGTCATAATAGAGCTCCTTATAGTGCAGACTGACCTATAGCAGCTCATACATAAAAATCAATGACCTGTGAACTACTCTTGGTATCACACATTACCACCAATGTAGTGTTCTGGTAATTGCCACTCTGCCTGCTTGACAACATCAGCTGACTGCCACCACTGAAGGTAATGTATTGACCCTGCAGGTATGTTAAAGTATCCCTGTGGTACCAGTATCAGAATGTTGTCTTGCCTCATTGTGCATCATCTTGGTTGAATGATGCAGCACATCTTATCATAGTAAGCATCTGAATAATTCTGCTCAGAAAAGTGTTTTTCATAAGAATTTAAAGGCATATTTTTTTTGCACAGATTTACTGGAGGAAACAGAAGTACCAAGGAAATTATTATCAATGAATTGGACAAACATGGCATTAAGTACAGTGTTCGTAAGCTACATGTTGGCGACTTTCTTTGGGTATGCCGAGAGCGGTTCCCATCAAGTTCTGGCCACAAAGAGGTAAATGAGGTAAGGTTTGTGTATAAAAATTATAATATAGTTTATTGCAAATCTCATTTTCTCTATTTTATTTTTAGAAATTATGAGAAACATGAATGGATATTGATAATCCTCAATGTTAGTTTATTTAGTAGGATCTTTTGATGTGATTCTTCCTTATTGCTTTCCTCCCAGAGGGCTTTAGATACAGAAGACAACACTGTGAATAGAATGCAGTCATTCTGAAGACCATTTGGATGCACATCAAAATATTCTGGTATTGAATCATTTGTGGGCTTGCTAGTCCCTGTACAGTTTTACAGATGCCATTGTAGATTTCTTTATTGCTGTGTTTATCAATGCTGTACTTTTCAGATGATTTAGTGTCCCCCCTCTGATGTGATATTATGCAATGTTATTGACATTTCCTGTTATCAGGTCTGTAGGTATTTATCTTTTTCCTGGTCTTTGAGCAGAAATTGATACTTGTATCACTTGCACCTTCCAATCTTCAGAAGCTATTCTTGTTATTTATTATTCCTAAGAGTTTAATTATTGTTAAAGAATTATCTAAATATTTTAATGTAAATTAAGGCATATTTAATTAATATGAAATCTCAGGAGAGTTCCATAGTAAGTCCCACATTTTACTGTGATCAGTCATCTAAAAATGCATAATTCCAGACTATAGTTAATGTATGCAGGATGCATATCAAGGAAAGCTTATATCACAGAGACTTATACTTATTATTACTAGTAGCTATCTCAAGCACGGCAGAATACAGAGCAGTTGTCAAATATCAGTGATATTAGCCCTTTGCACACATTTCCCAAATATATGTGTGAGATCCTAGGTATAGTGTAGAAGATAGATTCCCATATAAATGTGTGATGGCCACTTTCCACTAAAATTTTATTAAAAATGTAATAACTATTCACAAAATATCAACATGTATCAGTGGTACAAAGCTTTAAAGGTTCCCTTACAGTGTTATAACATTTTGTGGTGAATTTTTATCTCTGGCCAGTGTCTGATGTGTGTGTGTGTGTTTATTCTCTTGTATATATATAAAATATTACACACACACACACCCTGTATACTGTATATATATTTTGTATGTTGTATACCTAACAGCAGCCACGAGAGCTAGTATTACCTTATATCATCGAGCGAAAAAGAATGGATGACTTGGCTTCAAGCATCAAAGATGGTAGATTCCGTGAGCAAAAGTTCCGTCTTAAAAAGTGCGGACTTTCCAAGCCCATGTATCTTGTTGAGAAATATGGCAGTCAGAATCTCAGGTAAAGGTCAATATTGTTACTTTTATGATTGCAGTCCATCTCAGATTTCAAATAAAAAAAATGTATCACTCATTTAAGGGTGTCGCCATCCATTCAGAAGCTGATATATTTGTTTAGTTTCATATAGTCTTTGATTCTAAAGGGTAAAGATAAAATATGGCAAAGTCTAGGAAGTTGAATGCAGGAGAAAGCCTTAGGCAATTGTTAAGGAAAATGTATTACATGATTTTACAGTATATGAAGAGATATGTCAAGACAGGTTTTTAACAAGTTCATTCTGTATCCTGTGATCAGTTATACAAAAGAAAATTGCATATCAGATATTTTTCTTTATAAATTATGTGATTCAATATTTCTAATGGAATGTTCTTTTCAGCCTGCCTGAATCAACATGTCTTCAGGCAGTGGTTAACACACAAATTGTTGATGGTTTTACTGTGAAAGTCACAAAAGACCAACGGGAATCGGCTGCCTTTCTCACCATCATGACACGTTGTCTGCAAAGTAAATACCAGGCGAGTCTGAAAATTGTCACGTTTATTTATATTGACCTGATTGTTTTTCATAGAAATTTGGGGAGCATTTAAGTTTGCCGATGTTTTAATTTTATTTCCTAATATATTCCTAATTGAAGTGTGTGTGTGTGTGCCATTTATCAATTGCTGTGTACCATTCTACAATATACTGGCTTGAATAGAACCTTCTTTAGGCTTTAGAGTCTTGACAAACCATTGCATAATCAAATCCTCACATTATTCCTTCAGTTACTGACCTGTTGCCTAAAAGTTAAAAATAGTGAACATTAATTTATTCTTTTCTAATAGTTGCTACACATCCTTTAATTCACATAAAATGTGAAGTAATTTAGAATTTGTTCTTGTTTTAGAATTTATACTAATTTAGAATTTGTACTTGCACTTGAATTGCTTAATTTAGAAACTGTACTTGTGGTCGGTCTGAATTTTGTGTGAATTCATGTGTAAATGTGTGAATTTTGTAACTAGTTCATCAAGATTGTAACTTGCTTAGCTAAATGAATTGTGGGGTTCAGTCCCTGAGCTCATTATGTGCCTCTGTAACCCTTTCCACTACCCCCCACAAGATGGGTATGGGATGCATAATAAATGAACTAAACTAACATCCTTCAATTGTTTGAGAATTTTCTCTGATATGCCAACTGCAATGAATATATGACATTTTTAATGTATTTGTTGAGCATTTAATTTAGGCTCACGTAGTGTTAAAGGTAGGCATTACTGTGCAATAATGAATCAGAACCTGGTGCTCTCAGAGAGGCACAGGGAGCAAAGACATATGAACACTTTACATTTAATGTTAAGTATAATTCCTTCCACCAGGAAAAGCACCCAGAAAGTTGGGCAAAACAAAAGAGACTACTGCATGGTTAAAATCTCCCCAAACAATGAAAACCAACCACCAAAATTGTGTGAAACTAGCACGAGCTAGTTTTCCCCACCTTTTCCCTATTGCCTGGAGGGAGGCAGGAGGGAGGCAGACTAGGTCAGCTGACCCACACCACTCCTCGGTTCTATTCTGATGGTGCCTAGTGCGGTCATGGTCACTCTGGCTCCAGTCTCCATTCATCAGCTAAGTGATGTTTTGCCTTTTGAGGCAGGATGTCCTCATAGGGCTCTTAGGAGCCCAACTGCTTTGCCAGCTGTTTACATTTGCTACTTGCAGCAATCTAGGTTCTGACAACCCTGCTCTGAGGCTATTTTTATATGCATTTGCATAGTATGAGCCAGGAGTTCAGTGTGCGTGGAGCTGCATGTGCTCAGGTGTTTTTTCACTGTGTACTCCTTAAGTGCTACCCTTTTGCATGGTTAGGTTTATCTTCCCTGGGGTGTTTGAGACACGCTTCCTTTAGGGGGGGTATCCTCGCTTGGGGTGGTCCTCACTCTTCAGGTAAACTAGTGGTCATTACCTATCTGTCTTTTCATGGGGTTGGTAGTGTCCTTGGCTGTGGGGGGGGGGGAGCTATGTGGGTTGTGTATCAAGTTAGGTAGTGCTAACAAGAAAGCGTACTGACGTTCTCCCTGGTTGTTCGTTTTCTGTGGTTTGGTCCTGGGGGTTTGGGCGGTTTTGTTTGTTTATTACTTGTCTACTACTTTAATTAAGTAATTAAGTAATTACTTTATTACTTATTACTTGCCTTTCTGCTTTGGGGCTCTTTGTTTGTGCCTTATTAGGGTTGTTCTGGCATATGTGCAGTTAACCCCCCTTGTTGACCCCTTGGTCTTGCCATTGGTTTTGGGTAGCCAGGGTTGCCTGTCTCATTCAGAGGTTACCAGCATAAGATTCAAAGTGCCTGGGCTTCCTGCAGGGTTCTCTCACCCTGCAAGCCCTGGAAAACCCCCACGGGCTTGGTTGTACTGGATACTTCTCTCGAGCATCCTCTCGCTTTATACGATTTGAGGGTTGTTCGTTGCCTGTACCACCGGACAACATTCATGCTTTCATAGTTTTCTTATCCCCCTTCCCTGTATAAGTTTGAGTTAGGTGCCACTTTTTCCAGGGTTCATTTCCATGTGCTTCCATGAGTGCTTTGGACTTGTCATTGTGGAGGAGGTGCTTCAGACTTGGCCTTGTGGGTAGTCTCTGTTGTCTCCTGGGGTGACTCTGTTGTTCTGGCCTCTGTGGTCAGAACAACAGACCTGGTCCAACGACCTGGTCCTGGTCGCTGGCCGGGGTGGTCTCTTCTTTCTTCTCCTCGGTTTGTTGTGACCCCTTCGGTTCTGCTGTGTTTTTTCTGCTCGATTGGTCCTGGTGGTAGGTTGTTCGTTAGCTGCAGTCTCCTTCTTTTCGGGTGAAGTTTGGGTCTGCTGTTTTCCGGAATTGTCCTTGGGTTGCTGCTTGATTGTTCAGGCCGGGGGTGCATGGTGTGTTTGTTCAGTTGCGGCTCTTCGCTGCTATCTGTGTGTCTTGGCCTCTGGGTCCATGAGCACGTTTTGGTTTGCCCAGGTTTCCTTCCTTCCTTCCTTCCTGTTCTAGAGTTCGGGTCTCTCGGGTTGTCGTCAGGGTCCTTTGGTTTGGCCTGTGGTTTTGTTTTTGTGTTGGGCGTGTGCTGTCCACCTCCCGGGGTCCTTCCCTCTTTTCCTTATTTTTGGTGAGGTAGCTCTCGGGAGTCGACAGGGTTCCCCCAAGAAAACCAGTGTTGAATGTAATGAGACGGCATTTTCTGGGTGAGTCCCGGAGGCTCCCCAGCATCCCTCTCACCCCCCCCCCACCCCCCCGGTCAGCGATGTTTTTTGCGTGTTTTGACATCCAGCCTAAGAACTGCAGTTGGGTCGCCGGCGCGAGGGTCTGGGGTTTCCCTGTCCTGGGGTTGCGCAGACGGCAGCACGGCAACATAATGACATTGTGCTCATTTGCTAATTTTCGTTTGGGGAATTCTGTCCACTCATTTAGCTTTCAGTAGCAATAGTTTCACCAGAATAGGGATTTGTTTTGGGTGGCGCTTACCTTTCTGGGTGCCTGTCCCGGTCGATGGCAGACATAGAATGGTCCCAACCACAGAGGGAATGTTTCTATAGGCCACTGCTCCTCGTGCTTTTCTGAGGGGGGTCAGGTTCTGGCTCGTGGTCCTCGGTAGGCAGAACTCCATGCACTTTGATGCCAGAAAGTTATACATATCCATTCAGCCTGAATAGTGCCCGGAAGCTTCCGGGACTCGCCCAGAAAATGGCATTTCATTACATTCAATACTGTTTATTTTTTTTCCTTAATAGGGAAAGGCAGTAAGTGGTGTGGTACAGAAGGATGTATATGGTGAGAGAGAGGAGACCCATGGTGAACAGAAAACGGAGACCTTGTTAATGACCTTCACTGAGTTTAATGCAGCATCTGTAAAAAATCGACAGCTATCGGTAAAAGAAATGTTTGCTAAACACCTTCTGCAGATTCATGGTCTTAGTGTTGATAAGGCCCGGGCAGTTGTTGATGAGGTAATGTGATGAAAATAGTAAAAATTATGCTAAAAATTTTTTTCATAAATGTTCATTTATTTTTAAAAATGTTAGTACTATTTTCTTGGGGGGAGCCCCTTCGGCTCCCTGGAGCTATCCAGGCTGATATGCTGATGCCAGGCTTTGACATCAGTCATGTGCAATGCACAGTAGTACCAGACAATATACTGTATTAATAATCATGATTTTACTCCCAGTGTCATCTGGTGAGGATGCCTCAGCCTGGAGGAGACATTTGACTATTCTTGATAATCTGTTTGCTTCATCATTATTAATTAGTCTAAAGTTCCTCTTGGTTCATGTACTGGTATCCATTTTATTTACTTTATACAGTATTTTCTTGGATATTTTATTGCTCTAGATATGCAGAATAGGATGTGCATCCTATAATTTTTTTACTTGCAAAAAAATTGGAAATATAATTTTTCAAAAGGCCCTCATCACTAGCTCCCTGAACTTATGTGCTGGTTCCACTAAGCATTAACAGTTTGATTGCTCTAAGTATTAGTAATTGATTTATAAAAAATGACCCTAGAACACGATAAGGAGGCTCCTGTATCCAGTAAATGTTCTCATAAGTTGGTGGCAGAATCAGATATCACCCCATGTATAGTGCCAAACATTGGCAATTATGCTTACTATGAACACCAAAGCTTACACCTAACACTTCTTTCTACAATTTTCTGGAGGGGCCAAATGGTGGCTTCCTGAAACTAGCTTTCTGAGATAGCTCCACATGAGAGTTACATCACACTTAGGAGTTTTATTTGACCTGCTGGGGACCAGTGTTCAGACCCACTCTTCTAAAAACTGTCTCCAATTCAAAGTTGCTAAGGCAGGGAGCAATAATAGTTCTTTTGGCTTTTGTATAAATTTACTTGGAAAAACTACTCAAATTACTCCTCTTGACTCAAATATCTCCTATCTATTTGCCTACTGTATTCTTACCAGCCTACATTTATCTGTTATCATATCCCAAATTATATATATATATATATGTATGTATGTATGTCCTCAAATACTAAGGGAACGCCCAGGAACAACTCCTACCTGGGAACTCCCAGGTAGTGGGAGGTGGGAGGTGGGGGGAAAGGTATTTAGAGTTTTTGTTTTGAATGGAAATGATTTCATCTTGTTTAAGGTTTTCTCATTAGGAGGTAGAGTTTGTCTCAGGAGCTTGGTATGATATTAAGTCTTAGTGTCACCAGCATGTGAGCTCGGTAAGCTACCTAAAGGCCTACCAGGAAAACGCATTTCATTACACTGAATGCTTGATTTTTTGTTAAACCATATATGTACTTCGCAGCATGGAGCTCCAGCACTGCTGATGTCAGCATATGAGAAACTAACAACTCCTGGTGCTGCAGAACAAATGCTAGCACCCGTGAAGTGTGGCAAAGCTGGAAGGAGCCTCGGTCCAACTTTGAGTACTGTTATTGCTAAATTGTACACAACACACAATTTACAGTAGAAGAGATTGAACTGCAGAACACTTCAGTAACTGATAAATTATTAAGGTGCAATAAGTCAATTAACTCAAATACTCCTACAAGCTAGAAACAAACAAAATGGACCACACAGTACAAAAATGCATGGAGGCCATGGGAAAGAAGTAAAAGAGAACAAGCAGATTAGCCCATGGCCTAACATACAGTGTAAGGAGACCAAGGACAGAAACATGAAGGCTTGGAAAGTTATAGGCACCAAAGTACTGAGGTAGATATGGAGAAACTAAAGAGGTTGAGAAGTGAGTTAGTCAGGAGGGAAGCAGAGAAGCAACTTAAAGTTGATGTAACAGCTAAAAACAAAGTGCAGCCATGGTCAGTGCACAGCCATACAAGTAAATAAACATTAATGATCAACACTGAAAGCAGTAGGAATGTCTACAAAGAAATTGACAGGAAATTTCATTGTGTACTGCATTATAGCCTATCCTGCATTCCACTTGTCGACCACACTCATAACGTATGAGAATTTCCTTGCATTTGTATGGCTCAAGTAGTATCTAGTTTCCACTGATTCTCCCTTTTCCTTCCCGTTTTTACTTTAAATTAGCTACTCTTGTCCACCTTGTCTATATCCCTCAGTATCTTGTATTTATTGCTCATATCCACTATGTCTTTTTTTTTTTTTTTTTTCCTTCTGTTGTTTGTGAGGTTAAGTTCCCTTAACATGTTCTCATAGTTAAGTCCTTTTAATTCTGGTACTAACTTAAATACAAACCTCTGTACCTCATGTTTTTTGTTGTGCTTCATGAGGTGCAAGTTCCATACTGGTTCTACATACTCCAGTAAAGGTCTCTCATAGGCAGTGTATTTGGATTTGGAAAATTTGTCCAGATTTTTTAATGCGGCTTTTATCTTCTCACATCTTCATGTGCAACTTCTCATATACTGCTGATGCCAATCATGTTCACAACTGCTGGGGTTAGTGTTTTGTTAACAACACTCCAAGATTGTTTATTGCAGTTGCCTACCCCCTTACGCTGTAGATTCCTACAGGTTTCCTCTATCTCCTACCATTCGACCTTCCATTTACCTTTCGATGATTCCGAGGATCAACATCCCTGCGGCCCAGTCTCTGCCCAGACCTCCTTGTTAATGGTCAGGTCAACCAGGCTGTTCGACGTGACTGCTCGCAGCCAAATGTATGACTCACAGCCTGGTTGATTCAGTATCCTTTAAAGATGTTTATCAAGTTCTCTTTTCATTATCTGTACTGCATTAAAACCTGTACTGTTACAACTTGTGCTGCATTAGAGCATACACTCCAAGTCAGCCTGTACTACATTACATTCTGCACTGCATTATCTCCTGTACTATCTTAATCAAGTACTAAATAGTACTTGATTAAGGCATATTCACTCACCTATCCACATCCCCACTTTCTTACCTTTGCCCACATGTTCGTTCACTCATCTGTTCACTTACTCACCATCCTATTTGCACACCCACCTGTTTGCTTGGTAGCTAATTTTCCCCACGCACCTGTTCATTTACACATCTCCCTGCTTATTCACACAGCCACTTGCTTGAACACCTGCAAGCTCATTTCCCTGCTAACCATTCACTTGCCTTCAAGCTTGTTTCCCTGCTAACCTTCTCCATCATCTGCCCACTCTTCTCTGCTCAATATAATTTACTAGCAAGTCAGATTGGTTGCATTTCCTAACATTTTTATTAAAAACAAGTCTTGGAACAATATAGACATTTATGTATATTGTTTCAGTAAATTGTATATCCATGAACAAGTATTACATCTGACTATTTTAATGTACTGTCATTAAGACTTCTTGTTTTATTGTACATATATATTAATAAATTTATGGGGGAGCCCCTTGTGGCTCTCTGAAGCTACCATCTGATGTAGGTGCCATTAGTCGTGGCGTTCTCTGGTCTACTGGGGGGACAGCGCCAGAACCTGGTCCCCTCACAGAGGCTCAGGGAACTGTGGCATTTATATATTAAGTTATTCATTTTTGCCACCACCAAAGGAAGCACCCAGAAAGTCGGTCAGACAAAACAAATTACAGCTGACTGCTTCCAATACCTGCAGACTCGAAAAAAAAACATAGAACTCCCGATTCTATGTGTATATATATATATAAATAAATAATAATAATAATAATATAAATTATGTAATTTGACATTCTGAAATCATATTGTAGGTATCCTCTGTTAGTCACTAAAACATTTTACCATCAATCAGTATTTTGAAAATTTACAATACTGTACTGTTTTAAGCTAAGTTTAAACATTCATTAATGGTTTGGTACCCCCCCCCCCACCTGACTATTGTTTACATGTTGTTATTTTATGGCTTTACTTAAATTATCATATTTTGTATTTCTTTTTTCCTTTCAAAATTCATTTGAGTGCAAAATGGTATTAACTGAACATTAATATAATTTTTTATATGTTACGTTTAAATACATATTGATAAGAAAACTACTGTTTATTTAATTTTATACATCTGTAAATATATGTAAGTTCCTTCAACACTACCCTGAGCCCATTTCATGATGTGGTGTATGCTTGGCTGTTTCTCCTTCAACCTTGAGGTTTGCAACTACTACACAAAGTAATGAACCACTGGCAGTTCTCACTGTTCAAACATGTAACATGTTCATAGTTCCTTGATATAATTACTACGTATCTCACAAATCTTTGTAATGTACCAGACTCCAAGCAAGGATGAAGCTAAATATTCTATTACTGTAATTATATGCAGCAAATTGTAATAAACAAATTACAGTTACCACATTTTAAACCTTTCAACAATAAGAATGTTGTACTCTTACGTTAAGGTCAAACTTGCCTAAAGTCTAGATAGCTGCCATTACTATTACAATTAGGTTCCCCTAAAGGAATACTTTAGTTTTCACTGATTACTGTAAATTTTTCTAAAATTTGAAGTGCCTGCATAAGCTCATCTGCCTTAAATGCTCATCTGTTCATTTGTTATATGATGGTGCCGAGTAGATCCCTGGTGCTATTGGGCTATGTAGCCCCTGTTAGGTAAGCTCTCGAACCATTTAAATAATCACTGTGGGGCTGACCTGTGGGGTCATAATCACTTGTCATCAAATAATCACTGTGGGGCAACATCTCAAATGAATAAATGGAGTGGCACCAAAATTTCTATATACATGTCCTGATGCTAGTGAATAATCACAGTAGTCCCAGTAGCTAACAATACCCTCCAAATTTTTGGACTAAATGTAATTGTGTTTTATTCTTAGCAGAGAAAGTCACACATAACTGTATTAAAATAATATTTGGAATATGTGGAATTATATCCATTCCATATATAGTGCAGTCGCCAAAATATGGACCTTGTTCCACTCGGGGCCTAGATTAAGGAGGATTCCAGATTTTGGGATAATCTGCCAATTTATCACCACATTCTTGAGAATTTCTTACAGCAAATGATAGAACACTGCACATATTCAGACATTATATATGCACCGTCCTACTGTTTCATCCAAATTTATTAATTTAGGGTCTGACTGCCTTCTTCACCAAACATAGGCGAGCAGCCTAGCATACTGGACCAGCTGTCTGTCACCACATAAGTGACTCCTGGGTGCCCACATGGTATGTATTTTTGCCCAGCCCAGTTTTATTGTTTTGGTAACACCTGCTAACATTGAAGGTTCTTCCATTACACATTGTGGTATTTAGTTGGAAATAATGCATATCTTGCCACCCTGTTATCTTAAAATTTGAATAATTTTTAGGCTAAAACATAGCGATAACTTTTGAGTGGAAAGTAAAGTCTATGCAAAAAGTGATGAGTGGCATCAACAGTAGTTTAGTGTGTTGTATACAAAAACAGGACCACGACTACTTTTAATGATATAATGGCTAAATATAAGTGCTTTGCATGTTTTGAACTGACCAAGGTAGATGGACAGACGAATGTAAGAGGGTTTGGGGTCATGATAACTAACTATAAAAGGGTCTGGAGAAGAGATGACTCATACCTTCATGCAAACTGCACATATTGCGAAGAAGGAGGCAGATGAATCAAAGAGAGACTGACTGACTAGTTGGGTCTGGGATCAGGGAATACAAGATGGGAACTGGAGGCTTTATCATTCACTAATGAGCATGAGATGCACAATTAGGTATTTTTTCAGGTAGTGGATGAGTTGAATGCAATGTGATAAGTGGAGACAATTTCCATATATACACAAATTCTAATCCAGATGGAATAATATTTAGGAACTTTTGAATATTCTGTAACAGTGTTATATTGATACATTTAATGCCTTCTTTGAATAATTATAGTTTTTCTAGGCAAGTACACATGTAAACATGTTTAGCTGGAGTAAGGTTCAGCTCACTTGATCTTGAGTTTCTGAACCACATCTTCCCTAAAGGAAATGCTGTATTACATATAACACTAGTTTTCAAATTTTATAATACTAGCTAGTAAATGGGGGCATTATATGTACATACAGTATTATAGGAAAATATAACACCACTGGTTAACCCCTGACATATTTCAAGATCTGTATTCATGGCATGCATGTACTCACCTTTGGTATCTGGTGTTCAACACAGGTCTGGCTGTTTAATGGTGTTTTGATGATATTGATGGTAAATATTTTTTTTATTTGTGACTTCAAGTTTTTTAGTATGTGGACCAAACCACAGCAGGAGGGGGGTTAACTTAATATACTGTACTTATAATTTCTTTATTAAAATATTAATAACAACCACACGTACATGAAGCCAATGTGGATTTTTACAAATGTTTGTCTATATTTTGTGCAAGTATGCTCACAAGCCGAGGGCAAGTGCCCTAGCCTAAACACACGCCAGCTGTCAGAATAATTAACAACTAGAATGAAATATGAGTGAAGTTGTGTAGGTAGACTAAGCACAGCTGCAGATACATGCTGGAGCCCAAAATGTTGTGTAACCTGTACACCCGTTGACTGAAGGTTGAGTGGCATGACCAAAGCGCTCATATTCAACCCTTACAAGCACAATTAGGGAGAGTGAGTAAACCTCCTATTATAAATTGTGAAGGCACCTAGATCAAGTGTTCCTAATTGATGGCAAACTTCATTTAAATACAAAATTTAATTGAAAATTAGGTAATTTTAAAAGGCAGAGGGGCATTTATATCCAGCAGAATTCTGCTGAAGATAGTGTGTTTTGATCTTTTATTTATTAAAACAAAAACATTTTTTATAATGTGTGTATATCATGAAAATAAAGACGTGATTAAAAATGTGACAGTGTCAGACCACGGAGGAAAATTGAAACAGGAATTTCCTTAAGTACTTTCGTATATTAACACATCTTCAGAAGGAGTCACTCCTTCTGAAGATGTGTTAATATACGAAAGTACTTAAGGAAATTCCTGTTTCAATTTTCCTCCGTGGTCTGACACTGTCACATTTTTTATAATATTTAAATGACTAAATAGTTGCATCTGACATTTTTAAAGTTTGATCATATTCATTTTTAATTTGAGTGTGTTGGTGGTGCATTCTGCTGTGGAAAGAGTTGGTGTTGAGGCTCTGTGAGGGCCTGTAGCTGCTCCTCATCCTTTTTTTCTCTCCTTTCCTCAGCCTGTGGGGAAAGCCCCTGTACATTTTCTTTCAATGACTGGAGCTGTTCTGCTTCTGGTTTTGCTTTAGATTCCTTACTATCCTTCCACTTTCTGCTGGATATGAAACATTGAAAGTACTGTATAGAGAGAATTAAGAATAGATTTATTTAAGTAAAAGCATTGATTGCAGCAATGTACATTGCTTAGCTCTTTTTTTTTTTAAGGCAAAATTGTGCATGTTAATAAGCATGGATGCTAGAAAATAAATACAGTTTTTAGAAAGGGAGTGAAATTATATATGGTATTCATGGATTTGGCAAAGTTTATAACTGAATGAATTGGAATACCTTATGAGAGGGTTCGACAATATTGGTAGGCTTAGTTTATGTGGGCCTGCTACTAGAGTAATAAAATATGACCATTATTAGTTTGCTGATACCCCTTAATGCTTTCACTTTTCCCTACTGACACTTTGACTTCTCTCTGATCACATCTTCACACTTGCTTCTCCCTCACTCCTCCCTGCTAAGCTACTGCATGAAGACAGACCCACCTGCTAAAGTTTTCTCCATCTTGGATGGTCTCTGGGAGGTGGCGGCCTAGTGTCTCTGGAAGCAGCAGGGCTAACAGCCCTGCAGTGCAGGCCAGCGATCCAAATATCAGTAAAGGAAGAGGCTGCCATTGGTCTCCCTAAAACATTATGTCATATTGCAAAATATAAAACAATCAGTATTTTTTGGAAAAATATTGGAATTAGTATTTTGGGAAACACTGTAATGGTATTGATTTTTTCAACTGTATAATGCAGGTAGTGGTAATTTGTACAAGTATATGCAGAATTTTATTTAATTTTTTCATAAGCAAATTTTACAGATTTTTATAGCAAAAGGTTCGTTCCGTGTTTGTCAGGTAGCTTCGGGTAGCTCTTCTGCTGCGTTCTGGGGTTCTGTTCGTTTGCATCCTTCTCCCTCTTTTCTGGCAAAGAATGTGACGGCCAGCCTCCAGATGGGTCCATTGGTGGTGGAGATTTGGTTGTTCAGCTGGAGGTGCATCATGTGCTGTGTCCAGTGGCGGCTTTATGTCCCTACCTAGGGGCCACTGGTTCAGTGACGGTGGGCGCGCTCTGGGTGGATCCGGTTTCCCTGGTTCCCTGTTCCAGGGCTCGCGTGTCTCAGGTTGTCCGCGGTGTAATAATGGTCTAGCCAGCCTGTGGTCTCCCCGCGTGTTCATGAAGTGCGGAAGTTTGCTGCTCTTGCATCTGTTTTTGGTAATATGTCTAGGGTCGACATTCGAACACTGGGGTTTTGGAGCTCGAACAGGGTCCTGGCCACCAGATATCTCATGAATGTCCCAGGGCCTCAGGATATACCTGATTAACCAGGCTGTGACTCATACATCAAGCTGTGAGCAGCTGCATTTAACAGCCTGGCTGACCAGCTCAGCAACCAGGAGGCCTGGGCGATGACCAGGCTATGGGAACATTAAGCCCCGAAACCATCACAACTTGGCCACAAGGTAAAGTAGGCCCTCTATGTCGTGTTGTATTGGGGAGCCTGTCGTGGCCATCAGTTTCTACTTAGCCGTGAGACCTGCGGTGCTGCTGCCTCCTGTGTTTCTTACTTATCTGTGGGTAGTTAGCTTCAGGAAGCCAACAGGGCTCCCCACAGAAAACCATCATTGAATGTAATGAAACGCCATTTTCCGGGTGTGCCCCAGAGGCTCCCTGACACCCTCCCTTCTTCCGGTTGATGGTTTCCATCATTCAAGAACTGAGGTGGTGGGCTGCTGGCTCCCCCTTCCCCTTTCTGGAGGGGGGGGGAGGAACTAACGAGTAGAAGTCCTAGTTCGATGAAGAGTTGCTTGTTGGTTTTCTTCCTGGAGGAGTACTTTTTGCTCTTTTCAGAAGTTGGTCGCAATTTTCATTAGCTTGTAGTCCATTTTGTTTTGCCTATCTTTCTGGGTGCTTTCCTAGTCAACGGTAGTTACGATATACTTTAAATGTAACGTGCTCGTAGGCCATTGCTCCCTGCACCTCTCTGAGGGAGCCAGGTTTTGGCTCGTGGTTCCTGGTTGGCATAAGGACTCCTGTGACTGATGACCTCAAACTAATACATATAGCACATATCAGTTCAGATAATTTCAGAGAGCCTCCAGGGGCTCACCCAGAAAATGGCGTTGTATTACATTCAATGCTGGTTTTCTGTGGGGAGGCCAGTCGGCTCCCTGAAGCTATCAAACTGACATGTGCCATATTAGTTTGGAGTCATCAGTCCCGTGAGGTCTAGTTCCTACCGGAGGCCACGAGCCAGAATCTGGTCCCCTCAGAGAGGTGCAGGGAGCAATTGTCATATGAGCACTTTACATTTAGAGTTTGTCATGTCTGTCATCGACCAGGCAGAGCACCCAGAAAGGTAGGCAAAACAATACAAGCCCTCTACTGGTGAAAATTGCAACCTATGTCCGAACAGAGCCAAAGAACTCCAAAAAAGAAAACAAATGAATAAATCATCATCCAACTAGCACGCCCACTCAGGTGATCCACCAGCTCACCCCACCAGTTCATAGAATGATGAAAACTGCCAACCGGAGGGAGTGAGGGGTGTCCGTGAGCCTCCGGGGTTCATCCAGAAAATGGCATTTCATTACATTCAATGCTGTTTTTTTACTTAAAATTATAAAGCATATACAGTAGATCTGTTGGTATATAAATATAAACAAAACAGGTTTTGAAATAGTATCTTGCATTACATCAAATCTACCAGATGGTTGTATGATTAGCTTACTATACAAACATGAAGAGACTCTTAAAGCATAGTAAATGTTAGTGAGATTCTGACCAAAAGATTGATGTATGGAGCAAGGGCACCGCCTACACGAGCCACCATGGAAGAGGAGCCTACTCCCACATTCCTCACTACCGTTGGGAAGATCTCGGCTGTGACCACGTAGATGATAGCGTAGGAGGCTGTGATGCACAACTTGCCTGCCATAGCCAATGTGATCAACAGCCATGACAAATCTGGTAAAGTAAAACCACAAAGTACTGCAGGATAGAAATTACTGCACACTGTATGACAACTTTATTATGACAGCTTCGTAAATAAATTGTTTTACTGAAAGTAAGACATGAACAAAGATTTAAATTGAATTGTAATGCAAAACCTAAGAATATTTTGGGTGTTACTATACCCGGCGGTACTGATCATTATATCGGCATATCTAATGATATGTTCACTGGGTTTTTTAAGGTACAGAGTTTAGTAGTGCACTAATTAATACATAAAACAGAAGGCTGGCAACACCTCCCTGCAGAGTGCTTAGTTAAAAGTCTCTTGTTTTACTCCTATGCCTTTAGAACAGTATAGATTACTTCCTGCTGGATAAATTAAGGCAACTGCAAACATGTTTAATGTTGTCTACATTTGTTGCTGAATTTGTCTCATATGATAAGATCAATAAGCTATTCTGATTGAAGACAAAGATACATCTGGATCATGCAGTGCAGTCTGACACAAAAAGAAGCTCTTTACCTTTGGGGACGAACATGGTGGAGACGAGCGCCAAGCCACCAAGGACAAGGAAAGTACAGAGTGGGATACGGCGGCCCACGCGGTCCAGGAGGAGAATGGTGATGACGTGGGCAGGCAGTTCCACCATCCCACTGATCACAAAATTGAGGTAGGCATTACCTCCAAGGTTACCCGTGTTGAGGGATAGCCCATAGTATACGCCACTGTTGACGAACCTGTAACACCATTCTCATAGATGGTCATTATGCCACAACTGGCTTGCTACACCATTACACAATCATTCTTAAAAAATTGTGAAACAGTGAGGTTGTTCTTTATAAAAGTATTGGAACATTACGGTAGAATAGTACCAACAACCAGGAATACTGCTCATTATTACAAGAATCACATCAATGTCTGCCACACTAGGTTTAATCATATTATATTTATTTGGAATTACCATTAACAAGAAAGTTTAAGTATACAGTATGATATCTAACAACATGATGATGAATTACTGAAGGTATTCTGAAATTAGAATCATTCATACTTTATCTAATCATATAGCCAATTGAGCTTCATACATTTGAGAGTAGCAGTGAAAAATTTAGGTAGTGTGGTGGTGATGGCATATTTGATTGGTGAAAAGTATCATTGGATGTTGTCTGTGATTCAATTGAATCATTTATTCAACCACACACCAGTGTGTGGTTGAATAAACATTCAACCACACACTGACATATTTCTTATGGAGAAAGCATAATGTTGTGTTACATTAGTTTCTGTTGCCTAAGTTGCTCCTGGATCTCCACTTTCTCTAGAGGGCAGGTGGCCAAAGTACAGAATCTTCTCTGGGCAATTCCAGTGCCCTTAAATGTTAATATAATAGATAACACACATCATAAAATATCTTGTATGTGGGTGTGGCTGCCAGATAAGTGAAGCTGTTACCATTTGTTTGAGTTAATTAAAAGAATGTGTGAAAAGACTGAGGCTGGCCTGAGCCAAAAAAGACAAAAGGAATGTATTCACTATAGGAAAGTGCTCACCATAGGAAAGTACTCACAATAGTAAAGTACTCACCATAGGAAATTGCTCACCATAGGAAAGTGCTCACCATAGGAAAGTACTCACCACAGGAAAGTACTCACCATAGGAAAGTACTCACTATAGTAAGGTGCTCGCCCTAGAAGAGAACTCATCATAGGTGCTCACCAAAGAAATGCACTTGCCATTCACTAAAAGTATTCACTACAGAAAAGTCATGTACAAAATAGGAATATGTATTTTTATACCAAAATAGCCATAGATAAGATCAACAAAGAAGGGAAACCGTATTTGATAATTGGATAATGAGTAAGGAGACAAATTTTTGTCACATTATTTAGCTATATACTGTACACAGTTTTTCATTCCAATCTACACCATACCAGTTAAAGAAGACATTGCAGGTTTTCTTGCGTAAGTTTGGGTAGCGAAAGAGGTCCAAAAAGTTTCCTTTGGCAGCATCCTTATCTCCGCTTGACATCTCTAGTGCCTGTAGCATCATGTCCTCTGTCACCTGTTGACACGACATGCCCTATTTATGCCTTCTCACCACAAATCTTTAGTGCATATTGCCCATTAAATATTAATTTTAAATCAGGATAACTAAATTATAATGATCATAAGATATGAATGGTCTTAGCTCTGCTATTATATCTATACCGTATCTGTAGCTTACACCTAATGCCTCTATTAAGTACAACTTCCTCGAGCCATCCTTCTGTTCTAAATGTAATCTTGTCTGTGTACCCTGGTCATAACCTTGTCTGTGTACCCTGGTCATAACCTTGTCTGTGTACCCTGGTCATAACCTTGTCTGTGTACCCTGGTCATAACCTTGTCTGTGTACCCTGGTCATAACCTTGTCTGTGTACCCTGGTCATAACCTGGAGTTCCATCCAGAGTTATGGATGTTTGAGGATGTTCTGGAGTTCCAGAACCCCATCAAACAGGTATGTAACTAGATCCAGGTACAGACCAGTGAACACGTGTCTGATATAATTATACTTATCTAGGTTAAGTTAAATTGTCCCTCAAGGAATTGTAGACTTTACCACTAGTTTGCTGTATGTGAATCTCATCTGCCTATGTGGAGTCAGAGGGGTAAAGTATTCTGTTATGCTTGGGAGTTTTAGGGTTATAATAAAGTAGATACCTACCTGGAGTTTCCATTCCAGCCCTCCCCCCCACCCTTCCCCTCTTGCATAGGGTTAGATGATCTGCTTTAGACTGCAGACCATATTTATCTATATTTTTGTGAACTGCTTCCCTGGGAGCCGGGCCCATCCTAACCCCCCATTGGATGGTACTCCTATACCTTGTTTAAATCCTAACAGGCTTCCAATTGTAACAAGTGGGTTAGGCAATTGTTAATTATGGATTGCATCCTGAGAAAGATCAGGCATTCTCCTAAGGGAACATGAATGAGCATAACAAGCTTCCTGTCTCCAACAATAGAAAAATAAAATGGGAAAGCAACACAGGAATCGAAAAAACAAAAAACTTGATAGTACTGTTAATATAATTCCAGCACTAAAACCAGAGGCACATATGAACAGGACAATATTATCAGTATAGGGCTTTTAAAGAAAGCTGCAGATATACTTAGGGATCACTAACTAGCATTTACAATGCTGCATTAGAGAAAGGGAAGTTATGATCAGCTGGAAAATGGTCAGTGTTGTCGCAATATTCATGGTGGGTAGACAGATTGAAGAGGAGGACTGCATACTCCAACAGCCCAGAGGACTGTTGAACATGGCTTGTGAAGTTTCTCTTCTGGCTAAAGAAGAGGAGATAGATACTGGAAGAGTATGACAAACCGTCTTTTTGTTGACTTTGGCAGCGTTTTCCAGGATGTTCCTTGCCTCAGCTGTCCTGCCCTTGGTGATGAGCCAGCGAGTTGACTCTGGGATAATCCTGAGGGAGAGGCCCATTTTACTACACCTTCGTCCTCTTGCTCACTTACCTACACAGGAGTATAACCAGGTACACATAGATGTACACCTAGGTACACACAGTCACATAAAGAGGAAAATTGTAGAGTTCAATTAATCAAGTTAAAAAATGAGAATAGGGTAATAAGTCCATGAAATTGCCTTCTCACCAAAACTGTAAGAAGCACTCCAGTTTAAAATTCAACATGCACTTGTCGAGTAGCTTTCATTGACTGGTGGATCATTACTCAAAGGAAGTCAAGAATCACCTTAAATAACTAACAGGAGCAAAAGCAATGGTATCTGATCAGATACAGTGTATCACCATGGATTATAAGGAAAGCTTCTGAGTAAATTACAGTACATACTGTAATTTACAGCCACTAGCTATATTTAACAATGCCATATTACTGAAAAGGAAGTGCATGGTTATGTTGGAAATGGTGACTGTTGTACTGATATACAGGATAAGGAACAGTCAGGAGGTCCTGATATACATTCATTCATTCATTCCCTGACAAGTACTGGATAAAATAATCATGTAACAATTTGTGGAATGTTTGAAGATGATAAACTGTATAACTAAGACCACACAGATTTAACTGGTGTAAATCATCTCATAAGACTGAGAGATGAGTGGAAAGATGGTTTAGTTATACTGAAAGAAAGACTGATGACTGCTCAAGAGTACATTCATGGGAATTTGAAAGTAGGAAGGCCTGGAGAGGATGGGCAGGTGTGGTAACTGAATTTGTAAGAAGCTGGGTGCGTGTGATGATGCTTGAGCAGTGAAGATAAGTAAGTAGAGTGGAATCACATAACAGTGATGGCTAAAACAAAACTATATAACAACTCGCAGAAAGCACTTTACACCTGGTCTTATGAAGTGAATGTTTTGCTGGCATTTTCTGATAGTCCTGACCACATGATGCTGGCTAATGTGATACAAGAGTGACCATATACACAGGGTGATACCAGTGTAAGAGTGATGGTACATAGGGTGATGCAGCAACATAAGGGTGACATACCAGTAGTATGGGATGAAAAGCAAGGCAGGTAGTGTCATGGCGACCTGAAGCCAGCGCCAGGAGGAGATCATGTAGGCCAGGGCTGCTGCTGTGAAAAACCCAATGGTGTAGAAGGCTTGAGCGAGGACTCCCACTAGCACTCGCCTCCGCTTACCCACTAGTTCCATGCCTGAGGGAGCAGAAACCTGTATACCCACACTGAACCACCAATTGTGCTAGCACTCCTAAGTGGTAACAGCAATGTTGTTACCTTCGTGTCAACACTGGTGGTAGAAATAGGGTTACATTTTGAACAAAGCAGAAATGGGGAACTTAGTCTAGAATTTCACCAAAGGTAGTACTGTAGAGTGATAGCCACCTCCATGTTTGTAAATGTTGGGTAGTGTTGTGATTATCACTAACTTGTCCTGTTATACAAGTACAAACATTTCCATCATCTTATTGGGCATCCATGATATCCCCCACATACATAACCACTCATGACCACCTCCTCATACCTCACCTCCCACTCACCAATGACCTCTCCTCATGCCTCATCCCCTACCACTTCCCCTCATGCTTCACCCCCCTAAGACTCCCCTCATGCCTCACCCCCCCTACCACTCCCCTCATGCCTCACCCATGACATAAGCGACGAGGAAGACTCCCTGGAGCGAGGCACCGAGAATGAATCTGAGGGTGGTGAAGGCGAAGTAGTCCGGTATGATAGCCTGGCCGACACCCACGACCACCATCAGCACCAGGGCACTCAGGAACACTGGCTTCCGACCCAACCTAGCACACACACACATCATTGTCACCATCAGAATAATCATGAGAATAGTAATAATGATTACTTAATAATAATAATAATAATACAAGAATAATAATACTGTACAAAGAAATTACAATGGCATGATATAATAATGAGAAAATCATTTGTTCTAACGAGTCCAAGATGCCCGCCTTAACCACCAACCCCCTTCACTGTCTAGCCTGTTGTTGACGTTAGGGGGCTTGGTCGGTGTCTGCTGGAGTGTGATGCTCAATATGATGACATTTCATCTGTCCTCTTAGAGCCTTGTGCTCCTACAGCCTTCTTTACTAATTTTGCTAGACACCTTTCTCTCTCCCTCATGTTTCTATCTTCCCTCTCCACTTGTACTTTCTGGATGAAACTTCCTGACGACTTGGTTTCAATTTTGAATTATCTTTTGTTTGACTACTTCTGTTCTGATGGAGGGTGAGTTGAGACGGCACACTTCCACCTGTAGAACTGGAGTACCAGATGTGTTCAAGCGAGGGTAAGCTTTCATATCAAACTCGGCCTTCATTACTGAACCCAATCTCAATGGACTGACAGGTCTTAAGGTAACGATTGTGGGGTTTATATCCACGATGCACTTCTGGTAAAGCCTTGTTTTGTTGGGTTCTCTGTCCCCCCTAATTGTGGTCCATGATGGGTTTGGGGGCTTAATCATAGATGAAATTATATTCTTGTTCATACTATGCCAACTTCTGGCACTCTTTCAACTTCTCAAAAGTTGTGAAGTAGACGACCAGACCCCAGAGTCGGACTGTGATAGAAGGATGGGCTCCGTGGCCCCGGGTACATTGGGTCCAGACCAAGCTGCTGCTTTGATTCAACTGACTGACACTCTATGTTCCCCTCCCACCTCTGTGGCAGGCTTGAACCCCAAGCCCTCCCTCAATGATGACCATCTTGTAACGTGGTGTGGTTTAATCACTTGTTGTGACAATTGTATTTTTTCACCTTCCTTACTGGGGGTGCTCGGTGCCATCTCCCCCGCACATGCATGACTTCTTCTCAGTTTACTATGTTCCAGGATTTGTTTGGTCCTATTAAATGGACTATGTATTTTGGTCTTTATCATGTTGATCATATAGTCCTGATGATTTATACATCCATAAACACTTGGTTGATTGAGTGGATACCTGTCACTGTTAAGCCCACTCTGACTGGAACACGTGTAGTTACAACCTCTTCTCAAGAGGCAGCCAACTGCCTGGCTGTGTTGTCCTGCATTGATGAAAACCCCCAGTTCAGATCTCTAAAAATGTCCAGTTAAATGCCAGCATTGGCACAATTATTTTTCCGCACCATGTTGCGACTAGTGATAGGGACCTCAAAGACTGCCATGAGGATATTAAATATATCCTCGAGGCCCAAGGCCAGTCTCTCCTCTCCAGATTAATAAATACACTCAACCCCCTCGTGGTCGTCATCATCAGCCTCTTTGCATAGTAAAAATCACTTTTGATATTTCCCTTCCCATTTTCCATAATACTTGCAGGTGCTAGATGGTCTGTTCAGGAGTACATCCCCTCGCCTCACCTCTGCAATAGGTGCTGTAAATAAGACATGGTCAATTGAAGTGCACAGGTGAGGTGTGTCTGTGCCCCTTGTGTGGTGTACTGGGTCATTCTAAGACAGAGTGCTCTTCTTCTCACGCTCACTGCATCAATTGAGGTGATGCACGACCTGCCCTCTCACGCTCATGTGTGCACCATAAATTTGCAGAAGCCATCCTCCATCTAAAACATAGCGATCGTTTATCTATCTCTGAGGCCAGGCTCACCATCTTCCTTCTTTCTCCAGCATGTCTTATGCTCATGTGTTGCATTCCACTTTCTCAGCTCCGCAACTGAGAAAGTTCATGCATCCATTCCTCTGCTTTCCGTATCTTTTTGAATAAATTGTTCACTGTATGCTCCATTTATCTCCCCTAAATGTTCCACTTTTCTTGGGGGAGCCACTTCAGCTCCCCGGAGCTAACTGGGCTGATATGGGTATATTAGACTGGCATCAGTCAATGCACATGGAGTTCTAGGCCTACCGGGGACCACGAGCCAGAACCTGCCCCCCCCCTCAGAGAGGCACGAGGAGCAATGGCCTATAGAAACCCCCCCCCCCCCTGTGGTTGGAAGCATTCTATGTCTGCCATTGACTGGGTCAGGCACCCAGAAAGGTAAGCGCCCCAAAACAAACCACTATTCTGGTTAAAATATTGCTACTGAAAGCCGAACTGGTGGACAGAACTCCCCAAATGAAAAACGAGCAAACGAGCATGACGTCACCACACCACCCCTCCACTGTCTGCCTCCATCTGAGGCAGACAGTGGAGCGGTGATGTGCACCTCATGCTGCCTCACCTCTCACCACCACCAACCTGTGCACTCTATGTTGTACAACCTGTGAAATTTGAAAAATATCAAAATAATTTCTTTCAGACACACAATAAGCTTTTGAAAATTCTCATTGATGACAATAGGTAAAAAAGCAGTAAATTTCAATCATTTGTAAAAAAAAATATTGAATACTCTGTAATTAAAAACCACAATTTATTGTTTAACCCCAATTCCTCATAATAAGTAATATAAATACTATAAATACCCATACAGTATATTTACCATATTGTATCATACATTAGATCGTGCTTACAACAGGAAATGGCTTTACTACAATGAGGTTATTTTTGGAATTAAAATTACCCGTGTTTTGAGCCCTTTTCATTAAAAAGCATTTAAGAAAAGCTTTTTAAATGATGGAGGACACTAGATCGTGCACCACTGCTCACAAACGTGTTACACTGGTGTACCTCAGGGGCCAATTATCGCACCTATTCTCCTCCCTTTGTACATAAGCAACATTTACAGGTCTACAGTTTAAAACCCCGTACTTCATGCTCAAGGCATAAGTCTCTATATCACGAGCATATTATATCTTGAACATCATGTGGAATGTTTAATAAAGTGAGTGACTAGTGATTTGCTCTTGACCCCTGACCCACCTGTCTAAAAGGTCCCCAAAGAAGCCTGATCCCAGACCCACCTGTCTAAAAGGCCCCCAGAGAAGCGTGACCCTTGACCCACCTGTCTAAAAGGTCTCCAGAGAAGCGTGACCCTTGACCCACCTGTCTGAGAGGTCACCAAAGAGGTAGGAGCCCACCAGCATGCCCATCATGTAGACACTCTGCACGGTGGCCCTCAGCCAGGCCCGCTCGCACACCAGCTCGTACTGCAACAACAGCAACAACAGTCTTCACTCACGGCCCTCACTCTCCTCTCTCATTTTCCTCACAACTTTATAGTTTTTATATCATACCAAGAGCACATTATTTATAATGAGTATCAAGGCGGCTGTGTTCGTGGATCTTGAGGGTAAGTTCGAGAAGGTAAGAATGAGAGGATAAGAACAAAAGAGTAAGAATGAGAGGATAGGAACAAGAGGGGTGGGGACGATGGGTAAGAATGAGAGATGGAACACGAGGATGTAAACATGGAAGAAGAATGGAGAGCAAGTATAGTCCAAGATAACAGTATACTTGCTATGGGAGTCCGATTTTGAATTAAAGTGTGTGTGGGACGTCCAAACATCCTGGATCACATTAGGATGTTTGGACCAAGACAATACACTTAAGATGTAGCGGAGAAACAGCACGCTCAGAGTGTGTGGACACACACCCAGATGCTTATTGAGGGGAAATATCGTGAGGAGATGTGTAAACAAAGATTTTACCCGGATTTACCTGAGGGCTAGCATATATTCTAGTGGGCTTGACGAGGACAGGAAGTCAACGGCTTGCCAAGTCCTGTAGTTCCTGAGAATCTTCCCCAATGGGTTGTTGAACTGCAGTAATGTTTGTTTCTCCTGTTTCTTCTTTCTAATAATATCCTGTTTCCGTCCTACGTTGTCTTGTTGAGCAGGAAGGTGTTCCCCGTGTATGCGTTACATTTGACATTTCAAAGAAGTAGTGTGGTTTAATGTCCTGTAACTTGTTCAGTATCTCTAAGGTCTGGTTGAGATCAGCCAGGGTGTGTGTGTTTGTTGTGCATTAATGTTAGTCCTGGGACCTCAACTCTTCCTGGTGTAGGCGAATTGACTGCCGTCTGGCATGATTTTTGTAGCTTTGTTGAACATTCTCCACACGAGAGATATATATATATGTCCTTTTGAGGGTGAGGTCTCTATGCTTGGATACAGTAGTTCAGGTTGGGGGGGGACAGAGTTGCCCCCCCCCCCAACTTGAACTAGTTGAATAACTACTTTCTTTTCCTTGAAGTGAAAGACTCAGTTAATTATTCCTAAGGTTTGGTTTACTTTATTTTTTAACTACAGCTCGTATTTGTTGTACAATTTTCAATGACTGGTGGATCCTAACAGGTCCTTTTCTTCATCCATCTGCTGCATGCATGGTAGTATTGCTGATATGAGAATTGTGATGTGATTTGTTGTCACACATGCAAGCTCTTGCATTTTTCAGTATTAAAAAGCAGTTACTAGCGTTCCGACCATTTATGGTGTTTATGTAGATCTCTCTACATAGTCTCTATCATTTTCACTTCCTAATTTATTACTTCCTAGTTCCTGGTCTCGGGCCGAGTAGAAGAACTTTTATTATTATTATTATTTTCTACCACAGAGTAGAACTCTCAGACCCCATCCAAGTACTATAGATCTTTTTGTCATTTGCAAATTTGGTAGAATGGCAAGTAATAATCTCATCTATATCACTGATGTTTACACGAAAATCAAGTCTTATCAAAAGTTTTAGAGAAGACCGTGTATACTACGTCGACTGGAAGTCTTTTGTCTGAATAACTGGTTACCGTTTCCAAAAAAGAGATTAGTCCGTCACAAAATTATATTTTCATAGTATCAATGAAGTAACTGGGTTTGTGATATTGAATTTCCCTTCATTCTCCTTGATGCTGTTGCTTTTTTTTTGGCTGTGGATTCTGTATACTTTGTTTTAATGGTTGATGATTCCAGTTTGTGTAAACACTATAGGGCAGTGTTGTTATGGAGGGCGGGAGGCCCTGTGGGCGCACAGCCTCGCATCTCATTCCCGCCACGCTTCTCCTGCCTCTACTTGTTCCCAGTAACTATCAGGTATATGGTGTACTCCCACAACAGGAACGGCTGGGGGGGGGGGCACAGGGATAACAACACTGCCAACCAGGCATGACAGGGCAGATCTCGGTGACACTTTTAAAATACTGAACAATTAGGACGTTGATCCAGACAACTTCAAAAGATCAGATGTCTCACAAACAACGAGCAACGGTTTCAGGTTCAACAAGCCACAATGTGGGACTGAGAACATATAGGACTTTTTCACCTACAGAGTCATAAAGCTATCGAACCGCCTACCCGCCGAAGCCGTAATGCCAAAACACTAAAGAATTGGTGGAAAAGAATCCTGGTGGAAAAAACTATCAGGACAAATGGGGGAACCTTTGACAAGTCGCCGGCTTCCTGTCCTTATTGGGACCACTAGTTTTGGTAGCCCTTGGGTAAATTAGGTAACTTATGTACACCCGAGGCTTAGTGACCATACTACTCTTGGTTCTGCATCAGGCGAGGCTTTTGGAGGCCTTCAGTACAACTCTGATATTGACAGTGTTACAGGTGTTATATAACTCCTATATTGGCAGTATTACAGGTGTTATATAACTCCTATATTGGCAGTATTACAGGTGTTATATAACTCCTATATTGGCAGTATTACAGGTGTTATATAACTCCTATATTGGCAGTATTACAGGTGTTATATAACTCCTATATTGGCAGTATTACAGGTGTTATATAACTCCTATATTGGCAGTATTACAGGTGTTAGATAACTCCTATATTGGCAGTGTTACAGGTGTTATATAACTCATATATTGGCAGTGTTACAGGTGTTAGATAACTCCTATATTGGCAGTGTTACAGGTATTAGATAACTCCTATATTGGCAGTGTTACAGGTGTTAGATAACTCCTATATTGGCAGTGTTACAGGTGTTAGATAACTCCTATATTGGCAGTATTACATGTGTGATTGGTACTTGCTGTTGGTCCTCTAGAGAAAACTCTCGGTTGATGTGGATTATCTTGCTGGTGATGGGCCATATTAGTTTATTATGAGAGCCAACACGACTAGCTAGGTACCTGACACTGCCTCACTAGCTAGGTACCTGACACTGCCTCACTAGCTAGGTACCTGAAACTGCCTCACTAGCTAGGTACCTGACACTGCCTCACTAGCTAGGTACCTGACACTGCCTCACTAGCTAGGTACCTGAAACTGCCTCACTAGCTAGGTACCTGAAACTGCCTCACTAGCTAGGTACCTGACACTGCCTCGCTATATAGCTAGGTACCTGACACTGCCTCACTAGCTAGGTACCTGAAACTGCCTCGCTAGCTAGGTACCTGACACTGCCTCGCTAGCTAGGTACCCTAACACACTGCCTCGCTAGCTAGGTACCCTAACACACTGCCTCGCTAGCTAGGTACCCTAACACACTGCCTCGCTAGCTAGGTACCCTAACACACTGCCTCGCTAGCTAGGATCCCTAACACACTGCCTCGCTAGCTAGGATCCCCTAACACACTGCCTCGCTAGCTAGGATCCCTAACACTGTGAGAGGGTGCCAGTGTAGGGAACGGGTGACGGTGAAGACTCACGTCAATAACAGCGCTGGTGCGGTACTCTGAGGTGTCGTAGACCATGGCGTCACAAGGCTGGACGTGGCTGGTGTTGGGTCGCCCCAGCGGCTCCAGCGACACCTCGCTGGAACACAAGAGTTGGCCCTCATCTTCCTCCTCGTCACACTACCTTATGCACTAAATGTTCTCATTATCATTCATTGGTCATGACAAATGTATAACGTATTGATCATGGGAGAGCCGTATCAATATTTGCCAGAAAATCAATAGGTTTAGCTGTTCTGCCTTGCACCAACCCTGTGGCTATACTCACCTGGGCGGTGTATACCTCCTTGCTCAGTCTATACACACACTGAACGGTGTACCCATATCTCAGTATATATACACCCAGAGATATACCCAACTTCTCAGTCTATACACAGAGAAATGTGTACCTCATATCTCGGTATACTTACACAGAAAGGTGTAACCGACTATGGGTGTATATGCACCGATTAATATACCCGATATTTCAGTGAATGTACAGGGAAGGTTCCCATGCCTGAGCGTATATACACCGATAAGTATACCGCACTTCTCGGTGACTATATAGAGAGAGCGGTGTACTACACCTTGGTGCAGGCGATGAGTCACAATAACGTGGCTGAAGTATGTTGACCAGACCACACACTAGAAGGTGAAGGGACGACGACGTTTCGGTCCGTCCTGGACCATTCTCAATCGACTTGAGAATGGTCCAGGACGGACCGAAACGTCGTCGTCCCTTCACCTTCTAGTGTGTGATCTGGTCAACATACTACACCCTGACCTGAGTGTACTACGCCCCCCCCCTGGTCATACTATAGGTATGACCTGCAACAGTCACTCCCCCCCCCTGCAGCCTGTTGTACCTCCTGTTGTGGTAACTGTTGACTGTTACCGTTTGCTGTGTGTCTAGGCCAGCCAAGGGCACGGCAAGCCAGGGCACGGCAGGCCAGGCCAGGGCACGGCAGGCCAGGTCAGGGCACGGCAGGCCAGGGCACGGCAGGCCAGGCCAGGGCACGGCAGGCCAGGCCAGGGCACGGCAGGCCAGGCCGTGTTCACCAACCTTCCTTTATCATCCGGGCCGGATGTCTCCCGGCCTCTTAACATCCTCTTCCTTGTCATATTCTCAACGTCTCTCCATTTTATCAGTCTTGTCGATTGCCCTAAGAATCGTGTAACTGTATGTATATATATATATATATATATATATATATATATATATATATATATATATATATATATATATATATATATATATATATATATATATATATATATATATATATATATATATATATATATATATATATATATATATATATATATATATGGTGATTACTTAGGTGTTTTCTTCTAAAATATGTGTCTGTAGAGGGTCAACATGTATATGTCTCTGTAGAGGTCCCGTTAGTATAGTCACATTAGTTCTCGACTCACAATCGAGAAATTCCGGGTTTGAATCCCGGGCGACACAGAAATTTTTGGGAGCGTATCCTTTCACCTCATGCTCTTCTCTACCCCAGCAGTAAATAGATTTAAATAGGTAAATAAGTAGGCAGCTTGTGGGGCGGCATGCTGATGGGGGGAGGGAGGGAGGCTTCTGTATAAGACTAACATGTATTATATATATATAACCTAGCTTCCTGTCCCCCGACACAATGAATTATTATTATTATACTATGTAGTTAGTGATTATTGTGTTTTGTGCGAACTTGTTGACGAGCATCCATGAGTGGCGTTGTTTATGTGGCGTTGTTTATGTGGCGTTGTTTATGTGGCGTTGTTTACAACATCATTTAGGACGTGTGTGCTTATGAAGAGGAAAGTCACCAGGACTGTCATGCTGGCAACACGTGTCAGGGTTTGACTGTCACACTGACAACAATGTCACAATCTGTTGTGTTGTACACCCTGGCACACACTACCACCCTGCTTGTGGGTGTTGTGTTGCCAGAGAGGAGTGTGATAAAGTGTGGCAGAGTGAGTGTCCTCGGCAGGGGAGGGTGTGAGAGGGTAGAGCAACACATGAGAGAGAGAGACCCACCTCCAGAAGTAACACTGGTGGTAGTGTTGACGGTGGGGGTCCCAGGGCAGCGAGACGTTGGCCACGTCGTCGTCCAGGGTGAAGGTGGCGTTGTCGTCCTCCCACCACAGACGACACCTGCACACAAGGGGGAGACACACACACACACATCTGTCACAACTCTTCCTCTAACCTGCCACTTTGACTTTATCAACACTATTCAAAGGAAAATATTGCAGTTACAACTTATATATACATTAGGCATACGTTTGAATACACGCTACTGTCGTGTGTATATATATATATATATATATATATATATATATATATATATATATATATATATATATATATATATATATATATATATATATATGTTGTTTAATATGACCGAAAAAATAAGATTGATAATTCTAACACGAATTTTTTCGATATTTCTTATGTGTGTTGAGTTTCACGTACGAGATGGAGAATAATGGGAAGCTGCCCTTTCTGGATGTAACAGTCACGGAAAGGAGCGAAGGCTTCCATACTGCAGTCTACACCAAGGAAACAAACATAGGAGTGTGCCTCAATGTCAATAGTGACTGCCCAGATAGGTACAAGAGGAGTGTTGTCAACGCTTACGTCGACCGTGCTCTCAGCCACAGCTCAGGATGGAAAGAAGTCGATGAAGAACTCTGTAGGGTAAGGCAGGTCCTAGTCAACAACGGCTTCTCTAACGGTTTCGTTGAAGACATCATAAAAAGAAAAGTGAAACGCCATGCAACTTTTGAAGAGTCAACCAACACAACACCCTATTGTACCCCCTATTAGACTATTTTATAGGAATTTCTTTACGACGGCTCATAAAACGGAGGAAAGGGTCCTGAAAAATATTGTTGATAGGAACGTCATCCCTACAGACAAAAAACAGAAAATACAATTGATAATTATAGAACCAAAAAAACGGCCAAGCTTCTCATGAAAAACTCCCCAGACACGAAGAAGAACGCTTTGAAGGAGACCAACGTCGTCTATGCCTTTAAATGCCCACTTGGGGACTGTCAGCCCCAAAGAACTCAGTATATAGGCAAAACAACAACGTCTCTTTCCAGGCGACTAACAATGCATAACCAACAGGGCGCCATCAAGGAACATATAACCTCCACACATAACCAGACCATCACCAGAGACATCTTAACTAGCAACACTGAAATTATCGACAGGTTAACGACAACTGAAGACTGGACATCAGCGAGGCGCTACACATCAAAAAGTCAACACCAGTAATCAACAACCAGTTAACACAATTACATTCCACCCACCTCAAGACCCCGAACTAACACAGAGACAGTAGCAGCAAGAATACAGGGATTTAATGGCCAATTAATACCTATTATGCCATTCATCCACTTGTTCATCTCAATCACGTCCCGAACCACCTCACCTTTTTACGGTTTGGCAGAGCGTAAAAAAAATGTCTTTGGAAATGTAAGGAGTGCCTTGCGAAACGCATCCCTAGGCGTCAGACTATAATATAGTGTGAAAATGAACTTTCTAGAGTTAATTTTTCAACTTCCCTCGATAGTGAAGAAAAAACATAAGAAATATTGAGAAGATTAGTGTTAGAATCATCAATCTTACCCTTTCGGTCACATTTAACAATATATGTTTACAAGAGTGCTACCCAAATATACTAATATATGGTTGACGCGGGTGTGTGAGTGTAGTGGACGGGTGTGGGAGTGCAGAAGACAGGTGTGTACTGACCTGTGGTCAACGCGGGCGCCAAGGAAGACCCAGGCCAACTTCTGCATGGAGACAACGATGGTTGGGAGTGAGAGCAAGAGGAAGAGTCGCCGCTGGTACACTCCGAACTCCCCGATATGCTCCAGTAGCTGTTCCATGATGGCGCCTCTTCCTCCTCAACACAACTCTTAATCTCTCTCTCACACTATTGACACTATCTTGTACACAATTCCACACTTTTAAATCTACTTCAGTTCATTGTTCATGTATCACCGAGTAATTACGTATCAGCTGGCGACGACACATGAGGAGGCGCTGTGTATCATCTGATGACACGTTGGTATACTTCTTCCTTGACTGTACCGTTCATGTGTGAGGTATACCTGTTGGGAGGAAGATGTACACGTTGTTTACACACCTTGTGAGTATACTGCTACCTGTGTGTGTGTGTACTCACCTACATGTGATTGGCAGAGTCGAGCTTTAGCTCCTGTCTAAGCCTCTGCCTTTCAAACCTTCAGTAATTTAATGCAATAACTGTTCACTCGTCGTCATTGTGTGTTTCTCTTCGTTCTGCTGTTCTGTTTCGAACATTGTTTCTTCATAAGCTTGGTCTGCTCCCTTTAGAAGTTTGTACGTCGTTATCATGTCTACGCTGTTCTTTAATTCTTAAGTTGAGGTTCTTAAGGCCGCCCTGAACACACATTGGTTAGTAAACACTTGTTTATTTCTATTATAAAACTATTCTATTACAAATAGCTGTTTCCCCCGGCCTCGTTAGTTAACTGGGGGTGGAATAATGGACTAGAGAGAGCTATTTCCCCCCCCCCCCCCGTTACAACTCTATCCCTTTGAGTTGTATTTTCTTGTCTCAATAAACATACTGGAACTTGACCAAAACAATGGATGCGAGTTGAGTCTGCACTGACAAACTTTGGGTAGAGTATGAGAACATTTAATATCCATAAGTGAGTGCAGTAGTTACACTCATGCTCCAGATATCACGTGGCATTAGAAGTGTGTGTGGTCAAGTTGTTCCTCACTGAGCGCTGCTCACTGGTGAGGGAGAGTCATTACCTGCAGTTACCTCCCAAGGTAGTGATACCCCAGCCTAACTCTGGCAGTTATAGTGTCACACTGTCTTGGGGTTGTTTGGTGGTGGTGTCACTACATGTAGTTCTCATACTAGTACCCGTCCACTACACCATAACACTCTAACACACAACCCTTTGTCCGCCGACACCCTCCTTCCTGTCACCCTACACGATGACCCCTGCCCCTGGCACCCTGTCCTTACTCCCTGGCACCCTGCCCCTGGCACCCTGCCCGATGACACCTTCCCCCCCTGCCGCTGGCACCTGCCCCTGCCCAGTGTGTCATGCCTAAAAGTATATATAGATAGTATTGGCTCCTACAAGATACCCCCCCCCACCCCTTCCCCTCCGTATCATCACTTTCTTATTACTACAGACATACTGGGCCTCGGTCCCTCACCAGTACAGACATACTGGGCCTCGGTCCCTCACCAGTACAGACATACTGGGCCTCGGTCCCTCACCAGTACAGACATACTGAGCCTCGGTCCCTCACCAGTACAGACATACTGGGCCTCGGTCCCTCACCAGTACAGACATACTGAGCCTCGGTCCCTCACCAGTACAGACATACTGGGCCTCGGTCCCTCACCAGTACAGACATACTGAGCCTCGGTCCCTCACCAGTACAGACATACTGGGCCTCGGTCCCTCACCAGTACAGACATACTGGGCCTCGGTCCCTCACCAGTACAGACATACTGAGCCTCGGTCCCTCACCAGTACAGACATACTGAGCCTCGGTCCCTCACCAGTACAGACATACTGGGCCTCGGTCCCTCACCAGTACAGACATACTGAGCCTCGGTCCCTCACCAGTACAGACATACTGGGCCTCGGTCCCTCACCAGTACAGACATACTGGGCCTCGGTCCCTCACCAGTACAGACATACTGAGCCTCGGTCCCTCACCAGTACAGACATACTGAGCCTCGGTCCCTCACCAGTACAGACATACGGGGCCTCGGTCCCTCACCAGTACAGACATACTGAGCCTCGGTCCCTCACCAGTACAGACATACTGAGCCTCGGTCCCTCACCAGTACAGACATACGGGGCCTCGGTCCCTCACCAGTACAGACATACTGAGCCTCGGTCCCTCACCAGTACAGACATACTGGGCCTCGGTCCCTCACCAGTACAGACATACTGAGCCTCGGTCCCTCACCAGTACAGACATACTGGGCCTCGGTCCCTCACCAGTACAGACATACTGAGCCTCGGTCCCTCACCAGTACAGACATACTGGGCCTCGGTCCCTCACCAGTACAGACATTCTGGGCCTCGGTCCCTCACCAGTACAGACATACTGGGCCTCGGTCCCTCACCAGTACAGACATACTGAGCCTCGGTCCCTCACCAGTACAGACATACTGGGCCTCGGTCCCTCACCAGTACAGACATACTGGGCCTCGGTCCCTCACCAGTACAGACATACTGAGCCTCGGTCCCTCACCAGTACAGACATACTGAGCCTCGGTCCCTCACCAGTACAGACATACGGGGCCTCGGTCCCTCACCAGTACAGACATACTGGGCCTCGGTCCCTCACCAGTACAGACATACTGGGCCTCGGTCCCTCACCAGTACAGACATACTGAGCCTCGGTCCCTCACCAGTACAGACATACTGAGCCTCGGTCCCTCACCTGTACAGACATACTGAGCCTCGGTCCCTCACCAGTACAGACATACGGGGCCTCGGTCCCTCACCAGTACAGACATACTGAGCCTCGGTCCCTCACCAGTACAGACATACTGAGCCTCGGTCCCTCACCAGTACAGACATACTGAGCCTCGGTCCCTCACCAGTACAGACATACTGGGCCTCGGTCCCTCACCAGTACAGACATACTGGGCCTCGGTCCCTCACCAGTACAGACATACTGAGCCTCGGTCCCTCACCAGTACAGACATACTGAGCCTCGGTCCCTCACCAGTACAGACATACTGAGCCTCGGTCCCTCACCAGTACAGACATACGGGGCCTCGGTCCCTCACCAGTACAGACATACTGAGCCTCGGTCCCTCACCAGTACAGACATACTGAGCCTCGGTCCCTCACCAGTACAGACATACTGAGCCTCGGTTCCTCACCAGTACAGACATACTGGGCCTCGGTCCCTCACCAGTACAGACATACTGGGCCTCGGTCCCTCACCAGTACAGACATACTGAGCCTCGGTCCCTCACCAGTACAGACATACTGAGCCTCGGTCCCTCACCAGTACAGACATACGGGGCCTCGGTCCCTCACCAGTACAGACATACTGAGCCTCGGTCCCTCACCAGTACTGACATACTGAGCCTCGGTCCCTCACCAGTACAGACATACTGAGCCTCGGTCCCTCACCAGTACAGACATACTGGGCCTTGGTCCCTCACCAGTACAGACATACTGGGCCTCGGTCCCTCACCAGTACAGACATACTGAGCCTCGGTCCCTCACCAGTACAGACATACTGAGCCTCGGTCCCTCACCAGTACAGACATACGGGGCCTCGGTCCCTCACCAGTACAGACATACTGGGCCTCGGTCCCTCACCAGTACAGACATACTGGGCCTCGGTCCCTCACCAGTACAGACATACTGAGCCTCGGTCCCTCACCAGTACAGACATACTGAGCCTCGGTCCCTCACCAGTACAGACATACTGAGCCTCGGTCCCTCACCAGTACAGACATACGGGGCCTCGGTCCCTCACCAGTACAGACATACTGGGCCTCGGTCCCTCACCAGTACAGACATACTGGGCCTCGGTCCCTCACCAGTACAGACATACGGGGCCTCGGTCCCTCACCAGTACAGACATACTGGGCCTCGGTCCCTCACCAGTACAGACATACTGAGCCTCGGTCCCTCACCAGTACAGACATACTGGGCCTCGGTCCCTCACCAGTACAGACATACTGAGCCTCGGTCCCTCACCAGTACAGACATGCGGGGTTGGAAGGGAGGTTGTCGTCCTCCAGGAAGCCACAAGTATACAAGAAGAAAGCTCCACAAACCAGATTGACCTCAACGCTGGCGCCTGTGAGTCATTCTATTCATGTTATGTGTTACATTTTGTTGTTATGTTTGGCGGGAAGCGCTTTATGTAATATTGAGTCCGTTGACCGTGTAACTGCTGTCTTAACAAGTGTACAGTTGTCTTCCAGCGACGTGAGGTGCAGTTCACGTAGCCTGTCCTCGTAACTCATGACTCTTAGTTCTGGGACTAGCCTAGTGGCATACCTCTGAACTTTTTCCAGCTTCGTCTTCTGCTTGACAAGATACGGGATCCATGCTAGGGCTGCATACTCCAGGATTGGTCTTATATATGTGGTATACAAGGTTCTGAAGGATTCCTTACACAGGTTCCTGAACGCAGTTCTGATGTTAGCCAGACTCGCATAGGCCGCTGATGTTATTCTTTTGATGTGGGCTTCAGGAGACAAGTTTGGCGTGATATCAACTCCTTAATCTTGCTCTCTGTCCGTTTCGTGAAGGAATTCACCTCCCATTCGGTATCCAGTGTCTGGTCTCCTAGTTCCTCCTCCAAGTTTCATTACCTTACATTTACTTGGGTTGAACTTTAGTAGCCATTTGTTGGACCATTCCTTCAGTTTGTCTAGGTTATCTTGTAACCTCATACTATCTTCCTGTCTCGATCCTCCTCATAATTTTTGCATCATCAGCAAACATTGAGAGGAACGAGTCAATTCCTTCTGGGAGATCATTTACGTATATCAGAAATAGTATAAGTCCAAGGACTGAACCCTGTGGGACTCCACTGGTGACTCCCCTCCACTCCGAGACCTCACCCCTCACAGTGACTCGCTGTCCTGTTGCTTAGATACTCCCTTATCCAGTGGAGTACCTTCCCTTTCACTCCTGCCTGCATCTCCAGTTTGTGCCCTTATGTGGTACTGTGTCAAAGGCTTTCTGCCAGTTCAAAAATATGCAGTCTGCCCAGCCCCCTCTGACTTGTTTAATTTTTGTTGCCTGGTCATAGAACTCAGTTAAACCTGTTAGGCATGATCTGCCATCTCTGAACCCATGCTGATGTTGTGTTACACAGTTCTTTCGCTCCAGATGTTCTACTAGCTTTTTTCGCACAATCTTCTCTATCAGCTTGCATGGAATGCAAGTTAGGGACACTGGCCTGTAGTTCAGTGCTTCCTGCCGATCACTCTTCTTATATATTGGAGCAACATAGGCCGTCTTCCAAGTTTTTGGCAGTTCACCTGTTACCAGTGATTTGTTGTACACTATGGAGAGTGGCATTAAATTTTAATTCCTAAAAAAGGAAGCTGATCTCTTGTTGATTTTTGCAAACTGAATTGCCAACACGAAATATGTAAAGTAACATTGATATTACGAGTTGCAGTGAGTCATCTGTCTTTTAGAGGCCACTTTATCTCGTCTTTGGCCAGTAATTATAAGTAACTATCTTTGATTTTAGTTGCTACACGCCCAAGATTTATCGTTTAAAAGGAAGAAATACAAATTTGTTTCTAAATCAATTTCCAGGGCTTAGTCAGCACTTCAGCGATCTACCTGCCACGTGGAAAATTCCACTCGCTATATCAATATTATCATCTAGGGAATGAAATATTTCCATACTATATTAATATTTTACATCAGAATCATATATCTACTGATCTACTGATGATGATTTTACGGATGATACTGATCAGTATCTATATTAAAAGCCAACATGACCATTTGGTCAAGTACACCATTGAGCTCAATACCTATATAACATTGTACATGTGATCTCAAGACTAGAAGCTTCCAGATAATCAAAATATTGTTGGAACAAAATAATGGCTTCCAGTGACGTATTTTCAAAATCCTTAATAAAGAACAAATTGTACTATCAAGTATTGTCAATAATCATTAAGTCCACTAAGTATTTAGCGAGTAGATAAACTTTATCACAATAATCAGTCTAAATAATGAAAATAATCAATCTATAATCTTTGACGGCACCTTGACTGGAGTGGAGCGGGGCGACGCCGGTGGAGCAGAAGCGCCCAGTACCTGATCTTTCTTTGTTGACAATGAGGCGATGCACGTGTGCAGGCAGTGTTTGAGGCCAGTCTCGGTGGACACTACCGCAAAAACATTACTTGTTAAATTACCTGTAATCACTCCCTAGATAATCGGAGAGTCCCTGATCTATAATCTAAGATAGAATTCGTCCATAAGAGCTCATATTAAGAGTAGTGAGAGTGAACTCATGTACCCAGAGACTTGCCACGCTTCCAACATCATTTTATCCTTAGCACAGCTACAAGTATCCATTCTACAGCAAACGCTACTAGGAACTCGATCTTCATCAAAATACAAAGCCTATCTCTTGAGAGATCACACATGCAGTCTGACATGTCTGTTTACATACATGCAGACAGTCAACATGCAATATGTTTAACATGCAGTTAAACACAAGACAAAGTTAGAGAAGATTCAGGGGTATGCCACCAGGCTCGTCCCGGAACTGAGAGGTATGAGCTACGAGGAAAGGCTAAAGGAGCTGAAACTCACGTCCCTGGAAGACAGAAGAGTAAGGCGAGACATGATAACCACCTACAAAATTCTCGGGGAATTGACAGGGTGGACAAAGACAAACTCTTTAACACGGGTAGAACACGAACAAAGGACACAGGTGGAAACTTAGTACCCAAATGAGTCACAGAGACATTAGAAAGAACTTTTTCAGTGTCAGAGTAGTTAACAAATGGAATGCATTAGGTAGTGATGTGATGGAGGCTGACTCCATACAGTTTCATATGTAGATATAGATACTGATAGAGCCTACTAGGCTCAGGAACCTGTACACCAGTTGACTGACAGTTGAGAGGCGGGACCAAAGAGCCAGAGCTCAATCCCCGCAAGCACAACTAGCTGAGTACAATAAACTACCGCTCACAGGATGAGTATGGGGTGCACAATAAACTACCGCTCACAGGATGAGTATGGGGTGCACAATAAACTAGCCGGTTCCAGCGGCAACAACAAATAAAACTCAAATAAGTCCACCAGCGATTACATAGATTACGAGATAAGTGCAGTAATTACATTCAGTTATTCATAAAACCAGATCAGCCATAAGGAACTGTGACTGAAAACTTTCTCGCAACATTAAGAAAGATCCGTAGTGTTAATGCCTACATAAAGTAAACCGAAGATAATAGATTCGGTAGGACTCTTAAAAGAAAAGACCAAGCAAGTTATAATTGATGATAAAAAGGCAGCCAATGAATGAATACTTTAGATCAGTGTTCACACAAGAAAGACTAAGCGCAACATCCCAATATCAACATAAGTGTTTGAAGCAGGGGAAGAGAATGCATTAAGAAAGCTATTTATATCCTCATTATTGTGACTGGAATGAAATTAAATGTAACCAAATGTGGCTTTGTCCTATCAGTTGGTGCTGACTCCTCCAGTTTCTTAAGGCACATGCATACGCTTGTTCAATGTTTTTATATTAGTTGAAGAACTCTTAGCGCAGCAGACTGACGCAAGCCTATGGCTGATTTGACAGTTTAAGTTCGTCAACCAGGAATAATTATTTTAAGCACTTTCTGGAATCGTGGTTTACACAGACAACATGTCAATATGATGACATTATATCGTATGCGGTTTACATATTCTGCCTTCACCAACCCAGACCGACCTTGTAGTCCATATATATATATATATATATATATATATATATATATATATATATATATATATATATATATATATATATATATGCAGAATAACCAAATGAAAAATAGAAAATGCTTAACGCGAAAATGCTTAACGCAAACGCGTTAAGCATTTTCTATTTTTCATGTGTGGTTATTCTGCATACTTGGATCAGTGTTTTTGTGATCATTGTTGCATATATATATATATATATATATATATATATATATATATATATATATATATATATATATATATATATATATATATATATATATATATATATATATATATATATATATATATATAGTAGAGAGAGAGGCCTTGGAAGCTCTGTTAGAAGCCTAGCGCTGGAAGCCCTATGAAAGCCATGAAGAAACTGGACAGTCATTACAGGTTTGCACTTTCATATATATATATATATTAACACAATGTTATGTGAGATAATTCCACTGGCCAAATAGATGATGTTGAAATATGAAAATATCGGACATATATTTATGTAATGCAGACTCAGTAAAAGTAATATTAAAGAATGTCTCAGGGATATTACAACTTCATTTACAGACTTTACACTAACCAGGGAAATATTATTACCTACTTGTACAATGTTATTGTGAGCATGAACATGAGAGAACGCCTACCACCTCAACTTTTTTATTTATTTATATATAATATTTATATGTTTATATATATATTTTTTATTTATATTCTTACATTCTTGAAAAGCCAGTAGCATGCACAACGTTTCGGACAGGAACCCGGAACAATCGCTTTCCTGTCAACGCTTAAGATAAAAGATGCCGCTCATCATGAAAATAGTTGACGTATTGATTGACAACAACACGCAGAGAACTTGGTGATAACACCGTGAATAGTGGCGATAGTAATCACAATTATGTTTCCCATTGTTTCCCAGCTTGGAGCTCTGCGATTCACTAAACGATTTGGCGATAAGATTAGATACACGCAAGAGCTGACGACACGAATGGTATTATGTTATCATCCCCAAGACTACATCCACACAGTACTTGTGTTATCATCCCAGACTACACCCACACAGTACTTGTGTTATCATCCTCAGACTACACCCACACAGTACTTGTGGTATCATCCCCAGACTACACCCACACAGTACTTGTGTTATCATCCCCAGACTACACCCACACAGTACTTGTGTTATCATCCCCAGACTACACCCACACAGTACTTGTGTTATCATCCAAGACTACACCCACACAGTACTTGTGTTATCATCCCCAGACTACACCCACACTACTTGTGTTATCATCCCCAGACTACACCCACACAGTACTTGTGTTATCATCCCCAGACTACACCCACACAGTACTTGTGTTATCATCCCCAGACTACACCCACACAGTACTTATGTTATCATCCCCAGACTACACCCACACAGTACTTGTGTTATCATCCCCAGACTACACCCACACAGTACTTATGTTATCATCCCCAGACTACACCCACACAGTATTTGTGTTATCATCCACTCACTACACCCACACAGTTCTTGTGATATCATCTCCAGACTACACCACAGGGGTGAGAGTGTCGTGTAGCAGGGGTGAGAGTGTCGTGTAGCAGGGGTGAGTGTGTTAGTGTCATTAGTGAGTACAGTAAATCATATCAAGCTAAAATTTTATTCACGAATGGTTGTACATTAAGAAGTGAGTTAGTTTACATAGCATTACAGTACATTACTTACGTAAGAAAGTGGGCTAACACGGAGTCAGACCTCGGCCATGTGATGTTATAGTGACCAGAATTCTCCTGGGATATAGACCTATCTGGCAGCTCTCTCATAACCCAAATGTCCAATACACCAAGTGTCAACTTTGTGAAAGTGTCCAATACACCAAGTGTCAGCTTTGTGAAAGTGTCCAATACACCAAGTGTCAACTTTGTGAAAGTGTCCAATACACCAAGTGTCAACTTTGTGAAAGTGTCCAATACACCAAGTGTCAACTTTGTGAAAGTGTCCAATACACCAGGTGTCAACTTTCTGAAAGTGTCCAATACACCAGGTGTCAACTTTCTGAAAGTGTCCAATACACCAGGTGTCAACTTTCTGAAAGTGTCCAATACACCAGGTGTCAACTTTCTGAAAGTGTCCAATACACCAGGTGTCAACTTTCTGAAAGTGTCCAATACACCAGGTGTCAACTTTCTGAAAGAGAAAACATGCACTCCCTTGAACATTATATTGTAGAATGTCCTATATTGACTGACTTTCGCCCTCCTGGGCTGAGTTATGCTGAACTGCGTAACTTCTATATGAATACTGGAACACTTGATGATATATTGGACTTGGACCCAAGATTGACTACGTAATGCATTAGTTATAAAATGTTTGTGATGTACCTATAACCTGAGCTTGTAAAAGTACCTTAATCACCTTCGGTGATTAAGTGCTTAATAACACACTAGTTTCTATAGCAGCTATCTTATCCTGTCAAAGTAGTAGAGACATAAATGTATATGTGTATGTGAACTCGGGGGTTGAGCTCTGGCTCTTTGGGCCCGCCTCTCAACTGTCAGTCAACTGATTTTTTTCTTTTTTACACACACACAGGAAGCAGCCAGTATCAGCTGTCTAACTCCCAGGTAGGTATTTGCTGTTAGGTGAACAGGAACATCAGAATGAAAGAAACTCTGCCTATTTGTGTCCGCCCTCACCGGGGATCGATCCCCCGGACCCTAGAACTACGAATCCCGAGCGCTGTCCTCCCAGCCGTCAGGTCCCGTGTATATGTGTATAAGTGTATATATATATATATATATATATATATATATATATATATATATATATATATATATATATATATATATATATATGTATGTATATGTATGTATGTGTATGTATGAATGTGTGTATACAGAATATGTGGAACCTGGTCAGAACTGCATTTCACCTTTATAAATAAACCCAAATTAAGGAGACACTATGTAAAAAGACACATCGAACACCGTTTATGTAGGACAGACGTAAATCTATGTATTTATGTATGTAGGTTAGATTAGCATTTTATAAGCACTACAATCACCTTCTGTGGTTGATTGTTCAATAAATCACTGAACTATATGTTTAACAGATCTCTGACCCTGTCTATGGAGGACAGAAGATAATGTATATATGCTATTGTACTGTATAAATTAAATTTAGAAGTTTTGTCAATGATTTATAAAAAAAAATAATTACCCTGATGGCTGGAGTAAACAGGTAACACAGCCATAGAAAAAAAACTTGATTATAGCTTCCAATTAGAGCGGCGAGACTTATATATTTGTAAAAGATATAACATAAAATTAAAATTATGAGAAAACGATTTGAAGAATAACTAACATAAACTCATTATATGAAGGTCAGGTTTTTAATTTTATTTAATTTATCCAAGAGTTGTTACATTCTTGTATATCCATTAGCACGCGTAGCGTTTCGGGCAGGTCCTTAATCCTAAATTTCCCCCAGAATACGACCCGTCAAATCTTTTAACAACCAGGTACCCATTCACTGCTGGGTGAACAAGAGGCTATGGGTAAGGATTAACGCCCAGTCAATCATCCCCGGCCAAGATACAAACCCCGGCCAAAGCGCTTGCGAGTGCTTTATCACCACGCCATGGGGACTTTTTTAAATGTTGAGCATGGAGGGATCCGTAGCAGTGGTAGAGGAAGGTATATAATGTAGTGGTCAAAGTCCAGGGTGGGTGACTATAGGCTATATAGGGTGACTATAGACTATAATTTTTAAATTTAAAATTTAGGCTGCCTGCCGCCCCGTCTCCACCCAGCCTGACCCTCCGCCACCACAACACTCACCTTAAAACACACCTGCAGGGTGCCAGGAGCCGGGGAGTGCCAGTGAGAGTGGGCGGGAGACGCCGGGTGCCACACTGCCTCACTCACCACTGCCACAAACACACTGCCTGGGAAAACAGCAGCAAAGGTCTCTCACTCTCTCACCTCTCATCATCGCCGCGCATGCTCCGTACTCTCCCAACCTAATAATTACGTTTATAAATTACAATTTTCCTGCTTTCTCACGAAAACAATTGTGTTCATATTTCGTTATAGCATTCCTTAAGGGTTTGGAGGCAGTGTAGTTATAATAACTAATCAATGGAGCAGGGCGGGAGAAAGAAATCAATGTTGAGACGTGGAGTTGCTGGAGCACGTTGACTGGCTGCCTCTCTCCACACACACACACACACTCTCACGCACGCACACACTCACGCACGCACACACTCACGCACGCACACACACTCTCACGCACACACACACACTCTCACACACGCACACACACTCACGCACGCACACACATGTGGGGCCTGGTGGATAGCGCGTAGGACTCGTAATTCTGTGGCGCGGGTTCGATCCCGCGCGCCGGCGAGAAACAATGGGCAGAGTTTCTTTCAAAAGCACCGAATCACCTTCTGTGGTTGAGTGTTCAATAAACCCTTGAACTATATGTTTAACACTTCTCTAACCCTGTCCATGGAGGACAGAAGAAAATGTATATATGCTGGTTAGCATTGTAAATGTGTGGCCACGTCTGTGATAGAAAATAATAAAAAAAAAAAAATAAAAAAAAATAATAAAAAAAAATAAAAAAAAACCTATTCCCCTGTTACCTAGCAGTAAATAGGTACTTGGGAGTTAGTCAGCTGTCACGGGCTGCTTTCTGGTGTGTGTGTGTGTGTGGAGAGAAAAAAAAATGTAGTAGTAGTTAGAAACAGTTTCTAAGTTTCTAACTTTCAACTGTCTTAGCCAAAGACAGTTGAGAGGCGGGCCGAAAGATCAGAGCTCAACCCCCGCAAGCACAACTAGGTGAGTACGGCCTGAAGGCAGCTCAGACCCTGAGCACACCTCTAGCGCTCATCTTTAATGTGTTGCTTAAGGAAACAATCGTCAACTAATTGTAAAAAATCTTTTGCTGCGGTATTCCCTGTTTTGTTAAACAAGTTTATTCTTCTAAAATTAATGTCCCCCATAACATTCACACTGACCTAGATACTCTAGATGTTAGAGTCTAGATACTTCATCCCATAGATGCTGAACTTCCATTTTGTCTAAGCGTGATGGCTTGCTAGGAATATGACTCCTATTATTAGACCTAACAAGGGCATGATAAAGCTGAAGAATAACAGTTATACTACTCATGTTGTTGTTCTTGTTTTAGATTCAGCTACTCGGAACAAAAGTTCAAAGTAGCACGGGGTATGGTGATCCCTGTAGTGGACTTGTTAGTTATGTTGTTGCTAACGCTTCTAGAAGTAAATCCCAATATGCTATTTGCCTTATTTCATACATTGATGTATTGATATCTTGGCTTAAGTTCCCTTCTAATCAGGACTCTCAGATCTTGTTCGCATTCACATTTAACCAATTTAAATATTATCCAGATGATATCTAGTAACTCTATCATTACATTGGCTCAAGAATAAAAAAAATCAAATCAAATGTTTATTCTGGTAAAAGTACATACATACAAGATGAGTTCCAAACATAATGTTGGATTCCTAGATTTAATACTAATTAAAATCAAAGCATAAATTGAATTGAAAAACGGGGAAACAACATGGCGGAAATCAGTAGTTATATAAGCTGGTCAACAAACAGAATTGTTTGAAAATAGCAAGACAAGGGTTGACGTTTAGAGGTAAGGTTGGTTACATGGAGTTTATTAGCAAGTACTTTTTCTCCTAACTGGTTGAGAGAGGTACAGCCTTTGACATGATTGGGAAGGTCAGTCCACATTCTGGGTCCCTTGATTTGTAGAGCATTTCTAGTTTGATTAAGTCGCACTCTTGGAATATCAAATAGGTATTTGTTTCTGGTGTGGTGCCCATGGGTTCTGTTACAACCTTCTAGGAAGCGTTTAAGGTCAGGATTGGCATTACAATTCAGAGTTTTAAATATATAGAGTACACTTGAGAGGATGTACAGTGACTTAATATCTAACATATTCAGTGTTTAACTTAATATCTAACATATTCATAAAAAGTGTTTCACTTTCTATATAGTCGTAATGGCTTGGCGCTTTCCCTTGATAATCTTCTCCCTCTACCACCCTGAGAGATAACACCTTCAAATTCTAATTTCAAATGGTCCTTCTGACGTCTTGACGCCTACATACCTCACCAAGAAACTAATCACACTCAACTATCATGCTCAGTTTACTGCTGAATTAAATACCCTTGAATACATACACAATTTACAAACTGTCTGGAAACTGCAAGTCTGCAAACTGAATGCAATATCACACAGTGACACAGACCATATACATTTTACGGGCTATATATGCCCGTGCCGCCTCTTGGGTGGCTTAATCTTCATCAATCATACACACTGATGGAACTTTTAGTTCCCAGTTACACCCTCGCTCCTGTGGCAGGTAAGTCCAATACGGGCTCAACATAGCCTGTGCTACTTGCAACTTTTTGTTCCGAGTTGCTGAATCTAAAACCACAACATTTCAGCTGAGCTACAGGGTGGACGAGAGGTGATATTATTGTTCATCACCCCGACGGCAACACATATGAAAGGAATGTAAGAGTCAGTAATTGGGCATCCTCCAAGTTGAACTGTTGGCTAGCCTCGTACCACCCAGAATTATTGAAAACACTGCAGAAAACAGCTGAATTATCTCCGACTCCTTTGCTCATTACTCGCAGTACGTAGCCTGCCGTCAAATTGTAACGTTCTTGTCACTGAGGGCAATAGATATATGTTCATTCTTCATAAGCGGGTCAACGTCACGTTGTGGATTCCCTCTCACAATGGGCTGCAGGAACGTCACAGTGCTGACACCCTCGCTTAGCTTGCAGGAAATACAGACAACGTTGAACATAATCTTGGGCTCTCAAATAGAACTTTATAGTGTCATTAGCCGAAAACTCTTTGATTAATTTGAAGAGAATAGTAGAGTGGAAACAGGACCTAGCAGATCCACTGTTTATCACAATGAAATGTCAAACAAAACACTTGTATGGGACAGGTAAGAAAATCATTAGACTGAGAGGCGGTGTGGCAGCTCAAATATTGCTAGGCTACAAGTACCTCTGGCAATTGTGCGTGTACCTGGATATCCATCATGTCAAGTGTACAGTGTGTGGACAAACAAGGATACACACACACAACACCACTACATTTTATATTGTCAACAAATTTAACCATTTAAAAATAAATTACATTTACGTTGCATGAAATGGCAGACCATTTTATTGTGAATGGAATATTTTATGGTGTTTAAATTAAAATTATCTGAAATATTTACAGTGTATTCATATTTCGCTTATTTATATAGTATATAAATGACATATGCATGTTGATTATATGAGTTGTATGACTTACAACCATAATCAACAACTCTACTGTAATCCTGCAACAGCTAATGTTGAAAATGTTGAACATCAGATGTTGTCCTAATGTTAAAAATGATATAATTAACAAAGAGTTTTCCTTCCAACGTATAATAATATATTTACAGTCTCCGTGGTGTAGTGGTAAGACACTCGCCTGGCGTTCCGCGAGCGCTATGTCATGGGTTCGTATCCTGGCCGGGGAGGATTTACTGGGCGCAATTCCTTAACTGTAGCCTCTGTTTAACGCAACAGTAAAATGTGTACTTGGATGAAAAAACGATTCTTCGCGGCAGGGGATCGTATTCCAGGGACCATAGGATTAAGGACTTGCCCGAAACGCTACGCGTACTAGTGGCTGTACAAGAATGTAACAACTCTTGTATATATCTCAAAAAAAAAAAAAAAAAAAAAAAAAAAATTGTTAATCTGGAAAACTTGCGGTAAGAGAAGGCTGTTACTAGCTGTCATTATAATTATAAGGTGAGCAGAGTGATTATAATTAATGATGCAAAAATACCCGCTGAGGTCTCATTAAGACCTTTTGTGCTCTCTCTAAGCCTTTTTGCGCTACCGCTCACAGGATGAGGTGAACAATAAACTAGCCGCCCTCCGGCGCCAAAATTATTCGTCTTCATGAAAGACAAGATCGCTATGAAACTATAGACCATGTAATCTAACCCCACATATATGTAAGCTCACGGAGAGTGTGTTAAAGGCGGAGGGAATGGAGTTCCCTCCATAGAGTAAAGGAAGATCTATATTAGATCTTCATCAGTGTAATCATCTCCGTCACTATATATTGTAGTTATTATGTTGAACTCAAATTTTGCTACAATGTACCTATCCATCTTACCTTATCTGTTAGAATAAGGACCTGCCCGAATCGCTATGCGTGTTAGTGGATTTGCAAGAATGTGAGCATGTCATTATTATGTACTCTCACAAACCCAATGTACCTTCCTGTATATAAATAAATCAATAAAAAAATAAATAAAAATATGGACATCGCTCAGAATGCGTCAAGAGGCTCGCTGTGGTGACTTCTCATTATGTTCATATGATCTCCTTAGGCTGCAATAACTTAGTAAAGGCGCTGCATATAGTATGTTACTTGTGTAAAGGAGGAAACGTATATGTTTATCTCTCAGAATGTTTGGTAATACGTTTATTGTTTGTGATGTGTGTCTATGTATGTATTAACAGGATGTACTGAACGGGGTGAGAATAGCTTGAGCTACCTCATCCCTTTGTATGTATTTTACCTCAATAAACTTATTTCAATTTCAGTTTCAATGCAGTCTGTTAGCAGGTTCAGAAACTTCCCACTAGGGGGCTGATGATCTTTCCTCCACACACTTTTCCAGCTCCTTCACACTATGCTGTTCATGCTTGTCACATGCTTTATTTTGTATCCCAAATGTTTTGTTGAACTGTAGAGTTTGATGACCAATCAAGAACGTTGAATAACTGTTCAACGTTATTAACTCTTAACCATTTAGTAGTAGAATTTGAGGTGGGTTTTGGATCGTTATCAGTATTGAAGTCTTGCTAGCCGATCTAAATTAATTCCACAAATGGTCAGAAGAGTGACAAATGCAAGACGTCACAGGTAGCGCATAATAATCCATAACTACTATTTTTACGTACGAGCCTACAACAGATTTATAGGATAAAGGACCTATAGGAGTTATGACTCACTTTTTAACTTCAAGGAAAAGAAAGTGATAATTCAGTTGTACGAAATCTCTGGTGCGCCTCACACACAACTGTATGGAGCATAGAGACCTCTCCTTCATAAGGTGGCAGAGGTGGTCTGCCCTACTGTGGCAGAGGTGGTCTGCCCTACTGTGGCAGAGGTGGTCTAGTGCAGGGCGACAAAAATCATCCCAGAACTGCCTCAACTCTCATACCAGGAGCGGTTGAAGGCCATAGGGCTAACAACATTATAAACCAGTCACGACAGGGTTGATTTCACCGAGACCTTTCAAATGTTAAACAAGTTGCGTGGTATTATTCCAAACCACTTCATGACAAGGTCCAATGTTCCAAGTTCAAGAAGCAATAATGTTAGTTTAGTTCATTTATTATGCACCCCATACCCATCTTGTGGGCGGTAGTGGAAAGGGTTACAGAGGCACATAATGGGCTCAGGGACTGAACCCCACAATTCATTTTGCTAAGCAAGTTACAATCTTGATGAGCTAATTACAAAATTCAATACACATCACATCAACAATGGGTTCGAGATCAACCACAAGTACAGTTTCTAAATTAAGCAACTGACATATGTGGAGAGCTAGTGTCACAATTGATATGTTTGTCCTGCACACCGCCCCCCATCCAGTGGGCAGCGGTGGATAGGTTACAATCACTTAGTTACTACCTACAGTTAGCAAACTGGGGATATTTGGCTAAAATTTCTGGTAGCAGATCATTTTGAATGAAATATTTACACATTGCTGGAACATTGGTTATAGAATTGTCTCTGAATTCACGTATCTTTTCGCACTCCATTACATAGTGACGGAGGGTGTGCGAATAATTTTGTTGACATAGTTTACATTTTTTCACCCACAGAGCAGTAAATCCATTGAAATCATCTACTCGCCGAAGCCATAAATGCCAAGACAATACTTAAATTCAAAATTAAGCGGGAAAAAATCCTTAGCAATAATAGTGACAAGCCGCTGGCTTTCTTTCCTTATTAAGGCCACTATAGAGATGGTCCTCAAGTAAATGTCTACAGGTCGCGGTGGGAAGAGGAACCTGGTGGCTTGTGAAAGAAGGTCCACTCCTCCCGAGGAATGTCTCCACGTATATTAGCAACTGTAGCACTGTTTTGGTATTTGCAGCCTCGGCGAGTAGGTGCATGGTTGCACTGTCAGACAAAAAGCCCTCAGAGATGTGTAACCTGACTGGGGCTGGAAGCCATGCATGGCTTGTCGAACTCCTCCTCCCCAAGGGTGAGGCTATGTCCTAGAGCTCACTCATCCAGTTATTGGACATACTCACCGGTACTTAAACTAGAATGAAGGGGATCAAATCAGCTATCAACAAGAATTAGGCTGAAAAGTGTATAGTTAATATGACTGCTTCAAGTCTTTGACAGGCGTTCTGCAGAGCTGCAACCTTCGAAGTGCAGGGATGTATAATGTCTTAGTAATTGACACGGTTAATATGCAAAACATTATTTGAAAGAGTAGGGTAGCATTACAGGTGTCAGGAGGCAGGGCGTGACAGTGCATGCACTCACTATGATAAATATCTCATCAAGATGTTTGCTTTAAGCAATAAGTTAATTTAAACGTTTTGTGAAGATTTGTGAAAAAAACATAAATAGGTCTATAGTTTCTATATGTTATATGTAGGTGACTGCACAATCTATTACGATTTATGAAGGGCATAAGTGGATTTTTCCAGAGGCTGTAAAAGGCGCTGCTGTAGGTGAACTGGAAACGGAATTTCTCAACAGCGCTTCATAAGAGCCAAAGTATGAAACATATAGGTTATCATAAACATGTATGTTGTGATTCTCTTGCATTTTATATATGGTACTATATATGCACTTTAAAGGGGCTATATGAATTAACATTTTGTTAGGATTAGACACAAATTTATATTAATTTTTTTGCTTTAGTTACGGATGTTTTCATTATAAAAAATGGACCACTTTTTGCCTATAGGAGGAAATCCTAATTGTTTTTGGGGCTTTCTCTTAGTTTTTTTTTGTATAATGGTAGCATGTTACTAAAACTATACCAGAAGTGCTATTTGGGTTCAATGGGTTTATAAATCTTTAATTATATAGTATAATTCCTCGATTTTTATGTAGTACTATTGGGCAACTGAAATTTTCTTTAACACATCTTGCAAATTTTGATTACTTGTAGATGTATAATGTGTTTGGCAAAACTCTGCTTTTTAATCTTCTTTTGTGATATATATATATTTTTAAATATGTATTCCATACGTGAATATATATTACGTAAAGAAGGCTTACTACTCTACAATTTCCCATCTTCTGTGAGTGCGCGCGCGGCAAGTTACACAAAGAAAAAATGACTGGAACATTAGATAGTACGTATTTTTACAATTTATAGGTCTTTTTGTTATAAAAACTTTAGTCTATTTCTTTCAGAGTAACTAAATCTATATACCCTTCGAAACATTATGAACTAATAACTTACTAAAATTGAGAAGGCACTTATATTTTGTTTTCAAAAGAATTTGAATGTTGTGTTGGAGGGGCTTTTACTCAGTGACGTCAGTGGGGCTGGGGGCTCCGGCGGCTGTGATTGGTCGACGGGTTTGTTTGGGACTGACATCACAATATGGCGACGACTTAAGTATTTGCGTTCGGTTTGAAGTTGTAGTATTTCTGCAATAACTTAGCCGTTTCTTGGTATCAGTCATTCAAACTTCTTATGAGGATAGGTGGACAATCAGACCATAGACTGACAAGATAATGGGGCGAGGTGAGTCGTTAATTCACTTCAATTTGCTGTTATTCTCGAAGACCTCCATAATCTCTTCGAAAACGGGAATTCTTTATTGTAACATGGCGTGTGTTTACAGTGGATTACCGCCAAAGTCGTATCACTGAAACACTCCATAAGATTATATGCCTTTTCAACTCTTGCAAATTGATTTTAGATGTTATTTAAGAAGATGAAAGCGACCTGTAAGGAGGAAAAGCAGGCTTTGTTGACCTGTGCAATGTAATGGGGCTGATATATGAGCATCACCGGTCATGGGGTTTAATTGAAATGCTCTTGGCAGATGCTAAATTGGTCATCAGCTGGCACAAATGTATCGTTGTAGTTGTGTTATTTAGCTGGGCTGAGAGAGGTGGCTGCCGTGTTGGTGCCTGGGTTAGTGCCGAGGCCGAGCCTGGCCCTGGAGGTGAGAGGTGCTCCACTTGTGCACTGCTCCACATGTGCACTGCTCCACATGTGTACTGCTGTACATGTGCACCAGTACTACTCTAGTTTGGTGCACTGACAAGTTACAACTAACAACATTAGCAATAGTGACCACTTGACCAGTAAAATTCCTGTCCTTAATCTTGACACATTATCAAATATACAGTAGAGAAGAGCTACTGTATTATGTATAGTATGTTTCCAGTTTTACAATTAAATATTTCATAAAATAATGTCAATACCAGTAAAAATTACATGCAGTTTCAACCTTTATAATAACAGAGCAGGTGGTCTTTGTCAGGGTAGAAATCACATCATACCCAATTGTCATGTGGCTACCCCAAGATGGTTCACCAACCGAATTTAAAAACTACCCAACCTAACCCAACTGTACCTAAGCTAACACAGCCTAACCTAATGATATATATACAGTTCTGACAATTAGAAAATGAGCTGTATTAAAATTGTGTGTATTATAAAATTGTGTGTTTTGACACCACATTGTGTGTTCTATATGCTTCAGGAGTCTTGTGTGGCTAGGTTAGGTTAGTGCCTATCTATATGCTTTAGGAGTCTTGTGTTGCTAGGTTAGGTTGACTCCCATTTATTACCCCAAAAAAAGTTAAATAATACAAGTCAAATATGAATCCTGAGAATACTTGCTTATGGATTATGAGTATATTGGATACAGATTTAGGAGGCATTTATATTTGCATACAGTTCCATGGGCTTGCTATTTATATACAGGTCTTGTCTTTAACAAGTTATATTTTCAGATTCAGATTCAGATTCAGATGTTTATTCAGGTAAGGTATATACATACAAGTGATGTTACATTAATGGATTGATATATAGATAGAGCTAGTACATACAATGCCTAAAGCCACTATTACGCAATGCGTTTCGGGCAAGAAAAACATTAATATCTAGAACTTAATACTAATTGAGCATAAAGAATAAAAAGTGTTGAGAACAAATACAAATAAAGATAAAAAAAAGGGGGAACATGACTGAAAAAGCAGCACAAATACAATAGGTTGACAAACAGTGTTGATTAAAAAAAAAGAAAAGAAAATAACAGACATGGGTTGACAATAGAGGAGTGAGGTAGATTACAGGGAATTTATTAGGTAGTGTTTAGTTTTTATCTTAAACTGGTTGAGAGAGGTACAGTCTTTAACATGGTTGGGAAGGTCATTCCACATTCTGGGCCCCTTGATTTGCAGAGCATTTCTAGTTTGATTAAGACGTACTCTAGGAGTATCAAAACTGTATTTATTTCTGGTGTGGTGCTCATGGGTTCTGTTACAACCTTCTATGAAGCTTTTAAGATCAGGATTGGCATTATAGTTTAGAGTTTTATATATGTATAATACACATGAGAGAATGTGCAGTGACTTAATATCTAACATATTCAGAGATTTGAGTAGGGGTACCGAGTGATGTCTGGGGCCAGAGTTGGATATTGTTCTAATAGCAGCTTTGTGTTGGGTAATTAGACCACTCTACCTTGCATACTAATATAAGATTTAAAGTCAGTGGTTCCCTAGAAAGGAGTCACTGAACATTGGTGTCTGTTTTTAAGTCTCCGAATGCATTTGTTTTTTGTATTTATATATAAAAGTAATATACATTCTTGTAAAGCCACTGGCACGTAGTGTTTCAGACAGGTCCTTAATCCTAATTTTCCCCTGAATACCACCTGCCAAATTGTTTAACCACCAGGTGCCAATTCACTGCTGGGTAAACAAAGGCTACAGTTAAGGACTGGTGCCTGATCAGTCCTCCCCGGTCAGGATACGAACCCAGGCCGAAGCGCTGGGCGAGTGTCTTACCACTGCGCCACAGGGATTGCATAAGATATCACTTAAGAGTACTGATACTGCTACCATAGCCTGTAGTATCAGATTTTAATGCTGTGGTTCCTGAAAAATGAGCCACCAAATATTGGTATACCATGAATGTGTAGAGAACAGCAACTAGCCATGCTCACTCGACTGCATAACCTAGTAACACTTTCAACTCCCTCATCTCACCCCTTCTACATTTTTTGTTCTAAGCACTTGTTCTTATGAATGAGTTTGGGAGGATAAGAGCTGTCTTGTATGGGCCAATAGGATTCTGCAGTTTCCTTAATTCTTACGTTCTTATGGCATGTGTTATTTTGGAAATTATTAAAATCCAAAACTTGTACTGGCATTAAGATAATGTTATGTCATACACCTCGTGCACATCATTACAAAAACTACATTTTATCACATATTTTTTTTGATTTGGTTGATTAGGATTGTTTAAATAGTAGTGATGATGTAGTGGGGCCAATACTATTCTCAGGTCTTAGACCATACTCCTGAAACTCCTTAAAGGTGAAAGGTCATCTCCAAATAAAATCTTCTCAACTCAGCACCATTTTCAGGACTCTTGTGTTCTTAAAACTAATATATTTTGTAGATGTTTTGTGGATGATATATGTTTTGTGTATTAGGACAGAGGATTTTAAGAATTGGTGTATGTACAACTTAAGACAAGGTTTGCTTTAAATATTAATAATTCCATGACAAAAAGATTTTTGTAAATTAGTACAGTGGGTTTCTGCTCCAACAGAATCCTGTCCAATGGAAAATTGCAGTTTGGATGCACCGGAAGTATTTAAACCTGGTTAGTGTCCGATGTAACAGATTAGGTGTTTAGATAATAAGAGGATTTGCAGTGTATATAAATTAAAAATATTTATTGGATTTACTTTGTATATCAAGAATATAAAGTTTGTGTTTGTTGGTACTGTACAGATACTGTATAAAAATTTGCACTAATGCTTGTTTTATAGTTTGCACCAGTAAGACAATACCAGTACAGTAATTGTGGACAAAATTTGCGGAGGTCAGGTGCAATGGTAAATCAAATGCTGTACAGAGGGGTCCTGAACCAGTCATAAAGTTGGAGCTAGAACCCAGTGTACTGTATATACAGTATTTGTAGAAAGTTTGAGTTGCATTTAATATGACAGTTATCTTTGGCAGGAAGCACCTCATCATCTCAGAATGGTCCAGGGTTATTGCTGGAGTGTGAGAGCGAGGGACTTTCAGATGCACAGACTTCCAAGATCCAGAAGCTGCAAGATGACCTACGCAAGATTCAATTCATTCTTAGGAATGGAAACACTCAGGTATCATCTTATATTTTGTGTGTAAAGTACATATATAAGTACCCTTCTCTCCCTTCCCATCCAGTCAACTAATACCCCCATTTGAGGGTCCGGGTAGTACAGTCGGATTCGTTCTCGACTCGGTCGAGAATTCTGGGTTCGAATTTCAAGAGGCACAGAAATGGTTGGGAGCGTTTCCTTTCACCTCATCCTCCTGTCCACCTAGCCGTAAATAGGTACCCAAGAGTTAGTCGTCTTGTTGTGGGGTTGCATCCTGGGCCGGGGGTCAGTAATTCAACCCAGGGATGACACCGGTATAAACCTACAGCCCGTCCTCATAAATAAAGGCAAATGCTAGTTAACCCAGCCGCCAAACCCCGTTTATGAATGAAAACCAGTTTACACATGACTCACAACTGATGAATTATTAAAAAATAAGGGCTTTGCTGATGACATCTGTTCGAACCACAATGTTATAAATGCTTCACCCACATACAATACTTCAAATGCAAATAATTGCCAACTGAACCTAAACACCTAACCTAACATATGCCTAACTATACATAGAATTTTAATGTATAATAATATGAATTTATATACGAGAACAAACCAATTTTCTGGGGGGAGCCCCGTCGGCTCCCCGGAGCTATCCCAGGCTGATATGCTAATGTCAGACTTTGGCATCAGTCATGTGTATGGAGTTCTTAGGCCTACCGGGGACCACGGCCAGAACCGGGCCCCCTCAGAGAGGCAAGGGGAGCAATGGCCTATAGAAGCCCCCGTGTAGTTGGAAGCATTCTATGTCTGCCATCGACCGGAACAGGCACCCAGAAAGGTAAGCGCCCCAAAACAAACCCCTATTCTGGTTAAAATTGCTACCTAAAACCGAACTAGTGGATAGAACTCCCCAACCGAAAACAAGCAAACTAGTGTGACGTCACACACTGCCGCGCCGCTGTCTGCGCAGCTCCCCCCTCCCCGGGAGGGGGAAGGGGGAGCCCCAGACCCCCCGCGCCGGCTACCCAAACCTCAGTTCTTGAGGCTGATGCTATAGGCGATGGTCGTGTGCTCTGGCTCCGGTGTCGCTACTGCACTGTGCTTTGAGTGTGGTGTTAGTTTTATGGGTGCGAGAGCCAGGAGTTATCTTCAGTACTCGGGCTGCATGCGCCTAGGGCTGCCTTCCCTAGGTGCCCTGTAAGTACTGCCCTTGGGGCTTGGGGCCACCTTCCACAGGCTCCTCGGGGTCTGCCTCTGCTGGTCCGTTTTACCTTTCGGTTTTTCGGCCGCCTGTTGGGCTCTTGGGTGTTCTGTTCTCCCTTGTTACCAGCAGGTAAGAGGCAGTTTGCACTGGTAGGGGCGCAGGGTGCTGCTCAGCTTGTATTTCCCGACATCGCGGCCGGCTCTGTTCCTTGGGGTTCGCTGTCCTCTTGCGGGGTTTTGTTTTTCTTTTTGTTTTTGCCTGGTGGGGGGTTCTGTCATTTTATTCAGTTTGTTTGCCCTTCCACTGTTCTCCTCGGTGGCGCCCCCTGCTAGGTCCCCGTGAGTGTACACGTCCCTGGGGTTCAGCTTTAGAAGTTTGCTTGGTAGTTTTGGGCGCCGGTTTGCGGCACCCTGCCTGGGACTACCTGAGCGCGAGTCCTCTTAAAGTAAACGCTCAGGACCCTGGGAATCCCCTAGGGGGCGCGTGGGTCCGATGGATGTGACCCCGGAGTCCCCACTCGCTGTGTGCGAGTTTGAGGGTTGCTCGGTCCCCTTGTCTCAGGGTGACCCTCATTGTTTTTGCCTCTGCCACGCTGCCTGTTGGGTCGGTGATACTTTCGACCCTGAGTCCTGTGAGTGTTGCTGCTTGCTTGTGACTCAATTTACCCAATCCTCTGATGATTCTATTCGGGTACAGGCGGCACGGGCGTTGCAGTCAAGGTTTCGTCTGTTGCAACGCGCTCGGTTGGTTGCTTCCCCGGATGCCCCGGGGCTACCCCGCTTTGCTTTTCGAGACCCGGACTTGGGGGTGGGGGTCGCTTCGATCCTGGTTCAGTCCGTACCTCCTCGTCCTTCCCCTTCTGTTCGTTCTGGTCCCCCGCCCCTGCTTCCGGCCCCGAAGCGTCTGAGGGTTTCGGGGTCGGAGCAGGGGTTACTTGATCTCGAGACTCGGGCAGCTTCGGGGGTTGCCCCTTCCGGGGGGGCGGCAGAGGCATTCGAGTCTTGTCTCCCGGCCGAAGCTTCAGGGTCTGACCAGTGGGCCCCCTTCCTCCAGCTTTTCCGGCTGCTCCGTCCTTGTCTTGTGGGGTCGGGGCTTGGGGAGAGGACTCGGCCTCGGGTCCTGTGGTGACGGACCTCGAGGCTGGGGAGGGGCTGACTTGGGGGCCTTGGGCCCCGCTGGACCCCGCCTGGGGTTTTCTTCCCACTGAGCGGGGCTTATTGTTACAAGGAGTGGGGTTTTCTTTCCCCCCCTCTGCGTACGAGTCGGATTTGGTATCGGCCCCTCCCCGGGTACGGTTCCGTGTTCCCCCGGGTACGTCGGTTCCGTCCTTCCGGAGGTTTTCGGCTTATCGCATCCAACCTGGTGTGGTGCGAGCGGCCTTTGCAGCTTACCTCCTGCGTGACCCGGATTATGCCTCGGAAATGGATCCGTCCACGTTCAGGTTTGGGACTTCGTTCCCTTTCTGGCTCCGTTACGAGGTTCCGGAGTCGTCCTGGCTAGCAGACTGCCCCTTGTTTGGTCTGGATTCCTGGCATTCCTTCTGTCGTTCCCGCACGCTGGAGTGGCGGGAAGCTTCCACGGTGCTTCAGGTTTTCCTGGGGGGTGATCTTGAGTACCTGAATGTGTGCTTGTTTGCCCCTGCCCTTCCCCGCGATGTGGGCGTTATTCAGCTCCATGTGCAGGTTCCCTCCCTTTCGGCGGCGCTCGTGGCAGAGGACTTGCGCGCTCGGGGCCTTTTGTGTTCGGCCTTGCGGTTCTTTTCCCTCCTGGAGCTGTCTTCGGATTGGCTCGTGGAGGATGTGGGGACGCTTGGGTCCGTCCCGGGGTCCGGCACCTTGTCCTCGGCTGCGCGTTCGTCGGCTGCCTTGTGGAAGCTGTTCACGCCGATTTTGCGGGATGCGGTTTCCCTGTTCTATGCTTCCCGTCTCGCGTGTCGGCAGGCGGTGCTGGGTTCCTCCGTGGAATCTGCTTGGGCTCTGGCTCTTAGGCGTTCTTCACCTTTTTGTCCTCTCCTGTTTGGGGAGTCGGCCGTGGCGCAGTTTATTCAGGCTGCGTCGGCGGCTTCTCGTCCGATGTCGGACTTGTTGGTTTTCCGGGGGTCCCGGGGTGGGTCTTCCCGGAAAGGTCGTGCCAGGGCTCAGGGTTTCTCTCGTCGTGGTAGGCCTCTGGTGTCAGGTTTGGGGTTGGCTCCTCCTGCGGACCCTCCCTCGTCTGGTCGGCGCGGTGTTCGCGCTGTGCGGGGTTCTGGGTCTCGTAAGGGTCGCCGGCCCTTTCGCGGTTTGCCCCTTTGACGGGGCGATGGGGGGCGGCTTGCGCTGTTCGCTCGCGCCTGGTCCCATGATTCGTGGGCCTTTCGGGTCGTGTCTCGCGGCCTGCGGTGGCGTTGGGTGGCCCCTCCCCCCTTTGGGGGGTCGGGGCTGGCAGGGCAGGCTTCTTCCCCTGCGCTCTGTCGAGTCGTCTTGGAGTGGGTGCGCTTGGGCGTCGTCGAAACGACGTCGTCCCTCAGATGGGTTTCCCGTCTGTTTCCAGTTCCGAAACGGGACTGCGCGGACCTGCGGTTCATTCTGGACTTGTCCCGTCTGAACCCCTGGGTTCATTGCCCCTCTTTTCGGATGACTACGCTGTCTCAGGTTCGGCTCCTCTTGGAGCCGGGAGCTTGGATGGTGTCCCTGGACCTCCGGGACGCTTATTGGCATGTCCCGATTCATCCGCGGTTCAGGGACTGGCTCGGTTTTGTAGTGGGGCGTCTGAGTTACCGCTTTCGTTGTCTCCCGTTCGGGTTGAACCTGGCACCTCGCGTGTTCACACGCCTTACACGGGTTGTGGTGGCTCGTTTGCGTCTCCTAGGTGTTCGGGTGTTGGCCTACCTCGACGACTGGCTGGTTTGGGCTCCCAGCCAGTCAGCTTGCTTGCTAGCCAGGGATTTGGTTCTTTCCCAGCTCGCCGGGTTCGGGTTCTTGGTGAACTGGAGGAAGTCCCATCTGGTTCCCTCTCAGGTTCGGACTTGGCTGGGTCTCGTGTGGGACTCTCGAACCACCTCCTTGTCTCTCCCTCCGGAGTCTCTCCTGCGGCTGCGGTCCCGCCTTCGTCTGTTTCTGGAGGGCCCTCGGGTCACCCGGCGGTTGCTCGAGGGGCTGTGCGGGAGCCTGAACTTCGCGATGGTGGTCTACCCGCCGGGTCGGGTTTGGCTTCGACGGCTGTTCTGGTTCCTTCGGGGTTCCCCCTTCCGCCTCTCTCGCGATCGCAGAGTTCGACCCCCGGGGGACTTGCGTCGGTTGCTGCGTCACCGGCTTCCTCTTCGGGTTTTTCGGGGTTCAGTGCCTTGGCGCCTACCCGAGCCCTCGCTCGATGTGTACACGGATGCGTCGTCTCTCGGCTGGGGTTTTGTGACCAGTGCTCACCAGGCCGGCCAGGGGCGTTGGGATCCGTCCTTCCGTCGAGCTCACAGTACGGTGCGGGAGTTCGCGGCAGTGTGGTTTGCTCTGGGGAGGATTCGGGTGGCCCGCGGATCGACGATTCGGCTCCATTCGGACTGCTCTCCGGTGGTTCATTGCCTGAACCGAGGGGGTTCGATGCGGTCCTTGTCTCTTTGGGGTTGGTCGCTTCGGGTGACTCGTCTGCTGAGTTCTCGGGGTTTGGCTCTCCTGGCGGTTTACGTACGGGGCGTGTCCAACGTCTTGGCCGACGCCCTGTCTCGCTTCGTTCCCCTCTCCACGGAGTGGACGGTCGACGACGAGTCCTTCCGTTGGCTTTGCCAGACGTTCGGGCGCCCCGACGTGGACCTCTTCGCGTCGGCGTGGTCGCGGTGTCTTCCCGTTTA